GAGACATTCAAAGACAGCGAAAGAGGGGGTATAAAGAGAGCGGAAGTCGCTGTTGCTATGGAGGTGCACAACTTATGTGTGGTTACGATGTCTATAAATAATATATACTGGACTCATATTTATGCAGGACTCTACAAGGAATACCAATGTGTGAACTTTCAATTCAAAGGCTTTAATTTGTTTACCTTTTGGAAACTTTTGAAAAAAATATTAAGAAGTGTGGTAGTGAAGTATCGATATCATATAGGCTAAGTTTTTGGTTTCGATCATCGCGTAAATAGATTCGGCTTCCAAATATACAAGAAATCAGTTAATAGAATCGCTCCAGTTATACGTAGAACAGACCGAATTGATCCATATCCAGGTCTAAGGTGATGACCATCAACTAAATTGGAATTGCAATTCTAATATAACAAATGCGCAAGGTCTATGTGATAGTTTCTATGTACTGTATTATCTTCTATATTCTCACAAGCTTTGAAGTCAGTTCTCTGCAGTTTTCTGTTTCACTTTGCTTCTTGATGATATCTTTCTGTGTGCGTCTACGTTTGCCAGCCATTGCCTTTTCCATTTGCCATTTAAATGAATGTGAGCAATTTGGTGCCGTACTGACGTTTTTGTCATTCGCTTTGATTGTCATTTAATTTATGATTGACAGTTGCAAACCTCTCTCAATGAGCCTACCGCAAAGTATACATGCTGCTACGTCGGAGACCAACATCCAGCAGCCACTCCGCTCAGCTAGACCTAATAGCTAGATATCGACTGAGCTTGTCAATCAAGCCATTTACTAAAGCCCCATGCATCTTGATTTACGTAGCTGCTGGAATCTTTGCAGCCGCTGGCTGGCTGGTGCTTAGTGCGGTTTTGGAAGCTCTGACACCTTGACGGGGCAGTGTCAAGGAGTTTCACACTAGCAAGCACACATCCACGGACGTTAGACGTTACCTGGCTACTGTTCTATTGGGTTTCGCGCGTATGCGCAATGCGTTTACTGTATCGGTTAAGTGGGGTCTAAATACACCAATGACACGTACATAAATACATACATACATACATACGTACGCGTACTCCACTACTCGTATTTATGTAACCCAACACAGTGGATGATTCTATCTGATACGCGACTTTATGCCCTCCTCTTGAATGTGCTGCCTTGACCCTCGCTTGGGGGATACGTAGATGTGTAACGCAGCGGAGACGGTAACTCAAACTACAAAAAAAAACAAAAACCTTTCAATGCTCACCTAAGTACTATGTATATCTTCTACAATATCTTATATCTTTTAATATCCGACATGGATTTCATATTTTCCACTAACTAAATATACATATACTCGCACAGATCGTTCATATATGTATGTATGTATATACTATATACTATTTTGGGTGTGTCATGCTGCTGCTATGTTGACGGTATCGTCTTTGCTGGCAGTGCAGCCAACAGCCAGCAGCGTCAACGTCGACGGCGCTCGCTAAAACTACATAAATCAAAGGAAAAGCATTTTTCTGTTTTCTGGTCGTCTAGAAAAGCATTTTTTCTTGACTTTTTCCCTAATGCTGATGCTGCTGCTGCTTTTGTTGGTGATTGTTGATTGGTGTCGTTGGTGTTTTTGCTCTTGCAATGGCATTTTGTACGCATGTTTCAGACATGTAACATTTCTTTTTTATATAGGTGCAAGCGACAGAAACCGTTCATAGACGAGTGGGGGGAGGGGGTGGGGGGGAGGGGGTGGGTTTGGGTGATAATGTGAATATATATTTATTTTTTTTGCGGCGAGGCCGTGAGGCCAAAACATTTATAGGAATATTTAAAATTGCAGACGACGACGCGTCGTAGCTGCGCATTAAATGAGGCTTAAGAAACCAAAAAAAATATTAAATAGGGAACACCTCACTCGGGCAAACAACGATACAACGATACCCCTGGAAGCATTTACCAAGGTTTCCCCTGGTACCCTTAAAATGATTTCAGAATATAAATTTAAGGGAATAGATATTACCTTTGACACATTTTTTGTATGTTTTGTTTATTGAAATAATTTATGCTAATCAACAAAATATAAATCACTACAAATTCAAACATTAAATAACATCTAATATCAAGTATTGAGGTACAAGAACTTTTTATACCAGATGGTTCAGTTTGGCAACAAAATTAAAACAGTCTCTGACCCATTGCCATCGTCAGATTCTTTTGATCTCAGAAAAGTCCCAAAAATAAGAAGCAACCAAAGAATTACATTATTTAAAAAATTATACATACAGAATATTATTAAATAATGTATTGGAAACACCGTAAAAAGTTGATCTATGTAGATGGAAATCAGACATAGGGTATAAAAAGATCGAAGAATTACTTTTGGGCATGCTCGTAATTCCACAAACATGTTGAAGAGATGTTGAGCACAAAAAATATGACAAAATAAAATTTGAAATAGATGGACATGCGGCTAAAAGCCAAAGCATAATGTTGTTGCTGGGTTTTGTTTGTGATATTTTGTGATGTTCTTGACTCTCTAATGCTTTTAGTATTTCTGCACTCAGAGAAAAAATGAGTTCCTGTGGACATGGTATGCAGACACAACTGTTGGAACTGAATAATGTGCCATCCATTGGAAAGTATATATATTTTTCTCTTTGTGTATTGTTTTTTGCTGACATCTGTCTATTTTCATGCATATTAATTCATACGTGAGCTTACATTCTTCGTATTTCTGGATTTTAATAAACCCAAAACTATTTTAATTGTTTTATTTTTATTTTGAATATGACAGCAATTATTGTTAGCGATATTGTTGTCTACATATTGAATCGACTGGCGCTTTGCTCTACTGTTCTTCTTTTTGCTGTTGCTACTGCCCCCGTCTGCCTTCGCGTTCATAATGAAATCGAAAACGAAAGCAAACAAATTAATTAACTAAATGCCCCTCTACCGTCCACCCGCCACTCTCCGCCTTATCGTAGCACCAAAAACAAAACAAAAACGAGGAGGAACGTTGTGAGTCACTTCTGTTGCCGCGACTCTACTTTTATACCCGTATACTCAGTCAGTATATTTGAGCTTATGATTTATGTAAAATTTTAAAATATTTTATATTTTACATATTTACATATTTTTAATATTTTTATGGGGTTGGAAACGTTTGCTTCTGCGCGTTGAACACATGAACTTTTATCACAAATCGAATATACCCCTTAAGTCTTCGAGCACGGGTATAAAAACCGCAAAAATTTGGTAATTTTGTTGATTTTCTATGGCTATTGAATCCGCAGACATTCGCAGATTCAATTCGTATTTTTCAGCTTGTCATATTTTCTCACATTATTTATTAGCAATACTTAATATATAGTTAATTTTGTTGTTGTTATCTTTCTTGTGTCTGTTTGGTGCTTGTTCTGGTTTTTAATTGCGCTCACACGTGCCCCGACTCATCGCGAAGAACACGACTGTAGTATGCATACCATATATAATGATGTAAAGTGTTGTATCGGCCATAAAGGGACACTCTCTTTTGTCTTGTGGCACTTGTGTCTCTGGCCAGCGGAAGATGCGACCAACCAAACGCCTCGGAGGCAAATACTCGTAAACTCTTTGGTCGAGGAATGCCAAATACTCGTACTCTCAATCGTACCACCAAAAACACACACACATTTCCATCGTTTGATCAATCTTTGAGGGACCATGGAATGCAGTCATCAGTCAGTCGTTGGATTGTTTTGCGGAACTCCAAGATCATTTCATGGGTCTCCTGTGATTCTTTGCTTATTCCCGACCATCCACTATGGTTCACTCACATGCCTGTGGAATGCGTGTGTTTATGACCAGCCGATGCGATGATGGTACACGCTAATTTGGTATTTGTTCCGAAATCGAACCGAATATTTAAAGGTGGTATTAAGATTGAATCAAGAAATCGTAAGATGGAATCTCACTTATTTGATTGGATTTTCTTTGAATATTGGGTAGAAACTTGAAGAAGCTATATTGAGAACTCCTGGGGATTGGGAATGAACGAGAAAAGGATAGATTAGGGTATTGGATGGTTAAAAATGTATATTCCAACAGATTTGTATCTTATTCTTATTATGGCCATTTACTGCCGCCCTGCCACTGGAACCCTTTTGATCAATAATATTCTCTTAAACGAAGAACCTTCCAGTGTTGAGATTTATTTCCATATCAACCATTTTCAATATCCTCTCTCCTTCTCATTAGACCTGAGCGTACGATTGGTCGGTCAAAAGCCTGCCCCACACAAAGAGTATGAGCAAGAGAGACATATACAGAGAGAGATAGAGCGCGTAAAGGACGCCCAGGTGAAAGATTCACGCCCACGCCGCAGTCAGCAGAGAAATTTGCACAACCTTCCGTGATTGGAGAGGGGTGGAAACGGGACAGTGGCGAAGGTAGACATTGAGGCAGCAGGTACGAAAACAGTCACAAGGCGGGTAGATGCAGAGGAGAGGGCCAGGTGATACCAGCAACATTTAGAATGGCCTGGCAACATGTTGCGTGTGCGAAAGGCAGATAAGTCACGAATGCGCAGTGGCCAGCGCTGCGCTCATTCAACTTTGCTATCGCCCAAACATCTCTTCGACACGCGACTCATCTATACATCTACGCAGAGAAACACACCCACTTAGATAGCGCAAAAGAGTTTCAGCAAACATTTTTTTTTTTTGCAAAAACTGCAAACAAAAGCGCTGACAGAGCAGCAACAGCGACGCTGACAGCAGCAGAGGAAAATTGAAAACCAGCCGAAGGCAGGCGGCCCGAACGCCCGATCGTTACCGAAACTTTGTTGCGCTCGCGTGCGCTCTCTGCAACATTTGTTTGCCTGTTATGGCTCTCGCGCTCTGGCTATCTATCCTGCTATCTCACTCTCACTCACTTGAATGTTGCTGCTCTGCCTCTGCTCTGCTTGTGCTGCTGCTGTCATCGTTGTAATGCGCTTGTTGGATTTTTAGTTTATTTATTCCATCGTCCGATACCGTGTGTGGACATTATTTAACCAAACGTTCGCAACCGCACAGCACAACCAGCCAAACATAGGGACTTACACGGCAATAATCGTGAACGAACGCACCTCACACAGATACAGACACAGAGAGACAGATAGAGAGAGAGAGAGCGAGAGAGCTTGTAGCGAGAGCCGCCACGCAGCAGCCACCGCTCTGCCAACAATATACACGGCAGTGCACACCGCGAACTATCTAGTAGATAAAAAGTCGCCGACTTGCCGACAACTGAAACTGAAATAACGCTAGGCCCAAGCCCAAGCGAAAAGCGATCCGCATCGTGCCAAAAACAGCACTGCGGGGAAACCGCTCCAAAAACCAGCAACAACAACAGAAACACAGACAGAGCCGCAACCCAACCCATCCGATACGATCCAAACCGATCCATTTGGATCCGATCCGCGCTGAGCTTTGGTACGTTCCGTTTCGATTACACTCTGTAACAACCGTACGTACCAAACCGTACAGATCTAAAAGCTTCTATGGTCTGAAAAGTGAGCGAAAGAGTTTCTGTATCGAAAGTATCTATATCACTAAAACACACACTGGAAAAAGTCTCGAAACATTGAAAACACAAAATCGAAAAAACACAAAAAACCAAAATTTATACAACAAACAAAAAAACAAAATCAAATAAATCAAAATCGGCGCGCGAACCTCGCATGTGTTATCTAATCGGCCAGAGAAATATATAGTAGGACAAAAACAAAAGCCAAAGAACACAACAAAAAATCAAAAGCTAAAAGAAAAGAAGCGAAGGAAAAGAAAGAGAAAAATAATCAAGTAGAAGTGATCGATTGCGCTACGCAAAAAGTCTATATCAACACAGTTGTCGACTCACCCTCCGCACCGCACAGTAACGTGCCGCAACACGGCATCCCACACCGCAGAAAACCCACCGCAAGGCCTTTCATCCACCAATCCATCCCCCCTGGGAGTAAAGAGAAGAGAGTAATGTGTGTGTGACCTTTGTTTTATTTATTTTTTATTGTGTATGGTTTTATTAAAAAACGTGCTTAAAAACACAGTATCCGAAAGAATACATACTAAATACAAAAATACAGTATCCGCAAATAATCAACGAACGAATCATCCCAAAAATCGACAGCCGGAGAAATGGCCAACAAGCAGAAGCCAAGTGTTAGTGACAGTGGCAGCAGCAGGGGTGGCGTGGCCTGGACGACAGCAACGGGCACAGTGCCGAATTTGGAAAGCAGCAACAGCCGGAAGAGCACCACAGACTCCACATCCACCTCAAACTCCACCTCCCGCAACAGCAGCAGAAACAGTAGTGACTCTGCAACACAGAGCTGGTCCATGGGCCGGCTGAGCCATCAGTTCCGCCACCTGCTCATCGTGGGACTGCTGCTGTGCCTCTCTGGCGGCTTGGTGGATGGGCGACGTCAAGCCCCGCTCATGTTCGAGGAGTCCGACACGGGCAGGCGATCCAATCGACCAGCGGGTAAGTCCACAGATATAGTCCATAGATATAGTATAAGTTCATTGTAGAATTCCCCCATATATCAGATTCCCATAACTGCCGTTGCATAAGTATCTGCCGCCTGCAGCCGCATTGCGCATACGCCGTGTCTCAAGCGGTAAAGCGGGGCAGGAGCAGTGGCAGAACCGGTGGTGTCAGGTAGAACTAAGTGTCAAGGCCTAGGCGGGACCTGCTCGCACCCTAATCTCACCTATGAACTGCCTCATCAACATCGGCATCCCTATTCTTGCCATAGAGATTCCTTTTTTTTTATTTTACGATATTTTTTTTGTATGCATTTTCTGCTTGTGTGCTAATCCGGAAAACGGGAATTCCCTTCCGCTCGTTGCGCTGCCTGCGCAGACGTAAAGGCGTCGCTGTCGTTGTCGTCGTTTTGTCGACCCGTAAGCTGCTTACAACACCGGCAACAAACCGTAGCAAGAGTCCAGGCACCACAAGCCGATATCTTTGGCAGGGAGGCAGGCAAGCAGGCAGGCAGTTGCAATTTGTTGCAACTCACACGCTTGATTAGCTGCATTTCCTGTTTCGAAGGCCCCCGTATTAGTATACTATGTGTACGTATGTACATATGTACATACATATACATCTTACTATTATATTCCCTAGTTACCATTTTCCGCCTGCTTGCCTCACTTTTATCTGCCCCAGCCCCTGCCCCTGCCTTTTCCTGAACACTCCTGTCCACATCTCTCTGGCGGTATGGCTTTATAGCTGTGTGGCTCTGAGGTGCCTTTGTTGTTGCATTTTCAATTAAAAACAGATTGCGGTTTACGTTGCAACGACTTTGAAACGTTTCTCGTCTTACACACAGAAACGCTGCTGCCGCTTCTGCCTCTTCCTTCTGCTGCTGCTAACCCCTGATGATGATAATGATGATGTACAGGTTCTGTGAGGCCATGTGCAAGTTCAACTTGGCGGTTAGGAACTATATCACAAAGCATCGAATAAATCAAAATCCATAAAAATGTAATGTTTTCCCTTTTCCCTGAAAGGGTAACAAAAGTTAGCTTTGCATCGTTTCCCATCCTCTGGATCAGCATAGACATCACACAAAACAGCTTGAGGGCTGTAATTGGTTTAGGCCATGATAGGTAACCAGTAAATTAGTTAGCCTCTCATACAAAGTCGTAGATGGCCCAGTCTTCGTAGTCATGGCATGTCACACTTTGGCGCCCACTCACTTACTGTATATGTTCGAATAGCCGTATGGCCAGTCAGACATCTACAACCTACCTACCTATCTACCTAGCTACCTATTCGGGCACCCACTTCTTTGACTTTTCTGTTTATACAAAGTCTTAGCATAATTTAGTCGTTGTATTATTCCCCATCCTCCAGACCTCTACAGTTCAGCAGAAATACATACTGTGCGGTGGTTTGCGGTTTTTCTCTTCTTTTTGATGATTGGCCTAAAGACCACGTAAGCCCAGAGACCAGGCCAAGACGGCCGATCAAAACTAGCAACCAATTCGTTTTGTTCATTTCGCATTTAATTTAACTGATTAACCAGCTGGCCAATAGACCCCGCGCCACCCCGCTCTGAACCTGCTCCCCCTCTTCATATCCCACTCTCTGACAACCTACGTTGCCACCATTCGTCAGCATAATTCATTTATTCAACTGTCTGCCGCCCAGTTAGGTGTTAAAAAGTTGTTAACTTATTTTTAATGAATGCGTGTAAAAATTCAACGACAAACATCAGATACAAACACTGAGATACACACACCCATATCCATACGGATGGCGAAACAAGCGGCGGGTGGCGGGACAGAGAGAGATCCAAACAGCGGAAGACCCATTCAATGAGCTGCGGCAATTTCGTTTCGTTTTTGTTTTGTTTTTACCTCTGGGATTTCACGGCAAACATATCATAAGTTTGGGGCCCAAAAAGAAAACGACAAACGAAGATGGAAAACAAAGTATAAAGATGGAGAGGAGACGCTAGGAGAGCAGGAGGGAACACGTTAAGTTGGTAAAAGAGTCAGACAGACAGACAGATATTTTCTGTGGGGCCGTCGCGACAGCCTCCCAAAATGAGCCTCCAAGCACCGCAGCCACAGCCGCAGCCGCAATCACAGGCTTAGCCGGACGTCGGTTGTCAGTTGCATGTCAGCCAAGAAGTCGAAGGGGGATGGGGCTGCTGGGACGGAGACCAGAGCTATATAATACGAAATGCAACCAATTTGTTGCGTTTGCCACACGAGAAGAGGAGGAGACGAGGCGTCGCCATCCTCCAGCCTCCGAGAGCTTCACAGCCCCGACGCACAGCGTGTGGGCTGAGGAAGCACTTAATGCCTACAAGGTGTCAAATTGCAGCAAACTCCGCTTCGCCCACCCCAAAAAAACACACACACACAACTGAAAGTGAGACAACATTTTCTTTGTGTCTGTGTGTGTAAATTAATTTGGCGAAGAGCGTAGGCCGATCCCATTACGATCCCATTGACTCAAAACTCGAATCGGAATCCGTAGGATGTGTGTTTACCGCTGTTTCCGCTCGAATGAATAAGGAAACCCAGACAGGGGGAGAGTGAGAAAAAGAAGCAGAAAGCTTTTGGGACAAAAGCTCGTCACAGGTGAAGTTTAACAGCTAATAACAAATCTCTCTGCATCTTTCGGCCAGTAGATGATAATGGCGCCATCCATATGGCGCCCTGCCCTGGTCCTGTTCTATTCGATATGGGATTCGCCATGCCTTTCATTAGAATATGGCGCATTCCTGCCATGCATTAATTATCTGGCCGTAATCAGCGCCCCCTGCCACCGCTTTTTGCCAATATAAGCGATGCATTTGTACGCATCATTTAAACTGGGGATCACAGATAGATGTACACTTTTGCAATAGAAGCGAATATTCAGAGAGTATTCAGACAATCAGTATCATCTTTAGCTCATGTTTCAGCTTAGGACTCGGCCTTACGCTTCCTTGGCAGATCTTCGGCTCTTGCTTTCATAGAAATCTGTAGAAATTCCCAAATTTAAATTCAAATTAAATGCAAATATCGTTTTAAAGAAACAATCTGCAATTGGGCATAGCATTTGCATAGCTCAACAATTAAATGTACGCTTTAATAGTCGCACATTGAGCAAATCTTTTCCTAATATGCATTTTCTCGCCCACCCACCAGAAACAGAGGCAGAAAATCACCGAAAAATACGCTTGCAAATCGCGTGTCGCGTGACGCGTTCTGCCGACTGCTGCTCTGCCCATCCTCATCGCAACCCCAAAAAAAGACACAAAATATTTAGAAAGATACATCCTAAACATATTTGTGCAACTTATCAGAGCATTTAAAATTAGCCAGAACAAAACCACAACAACAAAAATTAACGGCCAACGTATGTTCTCGTTATTGTCTGCTGTTTGTCGACATCTGTGTGGCGGTGGCAAGTGCGGGGCAAGTCGCAGTCCCAGTCACAGTCGCGTGATTTGCTTTTTACTTGCAAACGGAACGGAAGGGGAGCAAAACAGAACAGAAGGGAACGGAACGGAATGGTTGGCAATGGAACGGCAATGCAAAAACTAAAAACCGACAAAATAAAAATAGGCCAGGCTGGGGTCCTCATTTCGTTCTTATTGCTGCTGTTGCTCCAAAATCAGACAGAATCAGACAGTAAGATACATACTACGAGTACTCGTACGTGCATATGTAGTAGAACCAGCACTGTTCCAAAGATACATTCATATTATAAATTGTTTTTTTGGATCTATTCGGATGTGGATTCTGGCCATGGCATATTATTTACCATAAAGAAAGCGAAGCGACCTCCTTGGGCCAAAGATTCATTATCTTGTACATTGTTTGGCTGTCTGTTTTACCCTAACGAAACGCACTGTACTATCTCCGCTCTTATTCAACAATATAATTGTTTCGGTCTTTTTACATAAGCCAAATGCAGGCGTAAGGGAAATTTGCTTTATTTTTCGTGGCGATTTTTCTTGGCTGCAGATCAGGCGGCGCGGCGGAAACCGTGAGGAACGAGCCCCCCTTTTTGGGGTTTTCTACTGGTGTTCGCTTTTGGGGCGTTTCGCTGTCGACTTTCCCCGCGTCATGCGGTTTTTTTTTTTCATTTTTTCACTTTTGAACTTTATTTATTATGTTTTGTTGTTTTTTTTTTTGTACCTCAATGCAATCTGAGGGAAGTGGATAGGGAGGGGAGGCGTCCTAAGGGGTATTGCTACGAGTAGTACTTCTCCATCAGTTTTTTTGTTTGCTTTGGTACCGCTTTGAACCGCCTTCGATCGGGCTGTGTTTGCTCTCTCTCTCTCTCCTCAGCTGTCATAAATTATCACCACCCTGGCGAGCACAAGCGATGATGTGGTGTGTGCCCCAGAGCCCCCCATTTTCTACCCTCGGGTGGGATGGTGTGCGGGATATGGGGAGACGCATTTAATCAACTATTAGAAATCTTCATTAGAACTGGCTGTCCCCAAAAATGAAAGAAAAACGCAGGCTGCAAACGCATTTCTAGCTTTTGTTTGCTTTGCACTTAAATAATTTAATTGCTTATAAAACAAATAACTGGCGGATCGAACTGGTTCGCAGTTCGTGAACCATTTGTACAAATACATATCTCGGTTTTTATCGGGGAGTTCTTCGTTTCGTTTTTTTTTCGTTTAGATTCGTTTTGTTTTGTTCTCTGCCGCTCTGTTTTCATTTGAGGGTAGATTCGTTTGATTGATGGACTGATTGGCAGGCCAACACTCGTAGCTGTCAAATTTGAAGCAACTCAAGTTGAAAGCAGAAACAGAATCGATTCATTCACAGATACAGAGAAAGAGAGAGAGAGAGAGAAATCAATACCCCAACCCCAAAAAGAGTGACCACTCCTGGGGGGAGAGATACAGATATAGTTATACCCGTACTCAAAGAGTTTACGCCCCCTTCCGCCTTCACAAAGAACGAAAGTCTGTGGCATCCACAATTTTAATGATACGAGAAAACAAAAACCACAGTATCGTAGAGAATGACCATATCTACCAGATTGCCGAATCTGGCTTAGATCGGACCATTAGTATAGCCACAATGAAGAAACAGAATGAGGAAACATACATATTTTTGTGTACTTGCATATGTATCTGCATCTTGTTGAGCTTTAACATTTGCGCTAATTCTTTTGCTACAATTAATTAAGGCGCAAAATAAAAATAACATTAAACAAGATCCAACCCACAAAAAAGCCAGATAAATAAATATATCTATATCTATATATAAATACATATGCTATACATATATTATATGGAAGTGTGTGTGTATAAATAAATAAAAACAGTTCCGGCATGACTGGCCTGCTCTATATACAACATATCCACTGATCTCCGCTGATCTTTTAACTCAATTAAAAGCGCGTACGAGCGTCAAAGTTTTCAAAGACACTCTGTCTCCCTGTCTCTTTCCATAGCGACCTCAACCTATCTCTTTCTGATGCTGCTACTGCTGCTGCTGCTGTGCTACAAAAAATAGCCGACAATTCGACGCCGTCGCTGACTTTTGGTTCTGGTTCTGCGTTATGTGAGTCACTGCAACAACAACAGTACAATGTGGCAGCAGCAGCAACGCATTTGGCAACAATCACAATTGCCAGGCGAAAATGTCTGTGGTACGTTTTCCTTTTGGCCACTGCCACAGGCACAGGCCAGCCCCAGTCTGGTGGCAGCAGCAGCAGCACTGATGACACATGAAGTACGAGATACTTGTAAGAATATCTGTATCTGCCCGTCTTCTGACCCACGTGTGTGGCTGTTCTTTTGACTGTAATTAGCACATTGTTCAGTACAAAAAAGAGATATATTTTGTTGTCTTTATGCACGGAATAAACCAATGCTGCAATGTTGCAATGGTGCGCACCTCACTAAATAGTCAAGGGTCAAAATTGATAGAAAGGAAAAAGACTAATATTAAGGAGATCATCAAGAATAAACAATTTTTCCTCTCAGCAGTGGGTTTTGTTTTCGTTTGCTCTTTTTCTTTTTTTCCACTAGTTTTTGGAACGAATGATCTCATCTTTGAAAACTTTTGTCGCCTGCCAAAACTGCATATGAGGGGTGCAGCAGGGTAGACCCAGAGGAGAGAGGGTAATGTTATTTTTAAGATTTGTTTGCTAATGATTCGTAGGCTGCAAATGTTTGCCCAGACACTTACAATTTGCTGTGGCTGCTGCTGCTCTGACTGCAGTCCAAAAATTTTTGCGGTTTTTGCTCCACTCTCACTCTCACTCTCTCTCTCTCTGCCTCCACCATTTGTCTCCTTCTAGCTCTCCTCTTTGCGTGTTTGAGTCCAATGCACTGCCAACAAAACCAGCAGCAAAAACAGAAAAAGATACAGTTTATTTCTAGACATTTCGTCTTAAATTAAACTTAAAAATAAATCCAAATACATGTGCAGATACCACATCTACATACATATATGCTGCCCCATGTGTTTGTGTGTGGCACGCTGTCCGCCCACGCTGCCCATCCTCCTACCCAGCCGCATCCTCAGCCACATCTACCCTTGTGGCACATCAAATGTGTGTAATTTTTTACAGGCATATTTCGCATTTCATTTTGTGGTTTCGTTCGTTCGTTCGTTCGTTCGTTGCACGTTCGGGTCTTGTCAATGAATGGGATTGGGAAAGCTGCGAATCGCAACGGCAACGTCTATAACTCACAAATTGTCTGGAACGACGGGCAGCAACAACACCACATACAACCGTCAAAAATGTTGCTCTATTAAGTGCATAAACAAACAACAATTGAACTATTTTTCCAACAAATCAGCAAAAGCAGAAATAGAATTTTCCGGATTCTGTAAGTATTTTCTGGGTGTTGTTTTAGTTTTTTGGTCATACATCAAATATCTAGACAAATTTAAGAAATGAAAACAGGAAGTGGACTCCCAGAGAAATAAAACTAAAAAAAGAAATAGGGAAATGTCTAAAAGTAAGAAAAAATCCCACTTCTTGAGGAATGCTTTTTGGAGTGCACCGATCCGATCCGTATACTATATTTAATCCGTATGCTGCAGATCAGCCGATCTTTTAAAATGCGATTAACGGACATTGCTGGGGATTATCGCCTCCCACTGGAGCTGCTGCAGCTGTTACTTGAGGTTCGCCTTGCACACAGACAACAAAGTACTATACTTTCTTTTGTTTTTACTTATGAATCTATTGCGCGGGGACTATTCTCTCATTGTTTTGCTGCTGCTGCTGCTGTTGTTGTTACACTCGTATTTAAATTCTTTCGCACGCAAATAAAACTGGCGCCAATGACAACAGCAGCAAAAAAAATAGCTACTACAAAATTGATAAACGTCGCGCGTCGTTAGCGCCACTTATCACGTATACGCCATGGCGCCCCAGCAGCGGTGTTCGTCAGCGGTTCTGCTGCTTCTGCCGTTACTGCCGCTGGGTGGGTGGTTGGATTGCACAGGTGCAACAGGTGTTGCCTATTTTTGCTGTTAGCGTTTCTCCAGCTGCCTTTTAGCGTGTTTCCTATTGAGATTGTCTTCACTGAAGATTGTCCTACTGCAGAGCGATTCCAACGCGTTTCAAGCTTCAAGCACGCGTTTCCCTTGCGTTTCCCAAGCTTTTTTCAGCGTGCTTTTAGCTGCTTCCGCTGGCTAATTTTAATTAAATGCTTTTTCATACCATCGTTTCCCCCAATCCCGCCGGCTGTCCCAAAAATCAATTTCAATGCCAAGCAACAGCATACGAATTTCCATTTTGGCTGTTTCTAGTTTCTGTGTTCGTTTGGCTTTAGATTTTGGTTTTGGCTCTTTTTGGTTGCTTTTCGTTTTATTTCGATTCGATTCGTTTACATTTTTTATGAGTGGCGCCAAGAGCTTTAGCATAATTTGGATGCGATGCCATGTCGCGAGTGTGCTGGTAATTAAAATATATTAATAATCTAACGCGTCGCTTCGCTTTGCATACGGTTTGTGTCATTTTGTGCAAAGCTGTGCCTGTGCCGCGCGCGCAGCCAATTAACGATCTGAAAAATCACAAAAACCACACACAGAAAAACAAAACAAAAAGAGTTTACTAATGAAATTGAGACTATCGAATTGGTTGCTGGTACCCTAGCCCCAGCCCGAGCCCCATGCCGCAGCTAATCCCGCCATTTGACACTTGTTGGCGCCCAGTTGGTGGCTGTTCTTCATCGCCTTTGCCATCGCCATCGCCTTTGGGTTTTTCAACTTGTAATTGAAAACGCTGCCGGAAGCGCTGCCCCAACGCCTCTAAACGAATGTGGCGCCACAGAATTCTGGTGCCACAGCCGTCTCTGGCTTGTGGCTGCTACCGCTGATGTTGCAGCTTTTGGCTGAAAAAGTTCTCTTGGCTGCTACAAAATGGAAATTTTGATTGCATTTGCCCTGCACACCCTGCACAACGTAGTATGAATCTGAGTCCAGTCTCGTGTCTCCTGGCTCCATTTCTGAGATGTGGATCACTGGCTGGGACCCCCAATCAATTGAAAGTTGTTCGATTGAAGTTAATTAGTTGTTTATCGACTGACAATACCCCTTGCCCCCATATGGCGCATTCATTGTGGGCGTCTGTCATTTGGTTTATGGATTTCCATTATTATATTGTGCGACGAGTACTAGCCTTGCTTTGCATCATCAGTCCCCAGTTCCCAGTCAGTTTCTTTCCGTACATAAGCCATTGTAATCGACTGGCGCCAGAGCAACCTGAAAAACATATATACTATATGTATATACCATATATACATAAATATACCAAATATGTATGTATAGAGATCCGTAAATGGCAATTGAGGAAATTAATTTTTTTTTTTCGTTTCCCTTTTTGTTTTCAGTTACCGAATGTCAGTTTGGCAAAGTTCTCCGTGAATTGGGGTCGACCTGGTATGCGGATCTCGGACCACCCTTTGGGGTGATGTATTGCATCAAATGCGAATGTGTGGCGGTAAGTAAACAAAACAATCCTAGCATGAATCGAATAAGAATGCTACCAAAACTAAGATAAAGAACAGAACTACATATGCATTCCATATTCCATTCCTTTCCGACCGATGTGCCTAAGAACCGATTGACTAATGATCGTTGATATTCGGTACAAGCCAAACGCCAAAAAAGAAATGACAGAGCGGAAAAAACAGCAAACGAATGGAAATGATTGTGTTTTTATTTCGGTTTCGGGACGCGCCTAATTTATAGCATTTTCACGCATGATTAATATCGATTTGAAAGCTCTTTCTGGCGATATATTACGGATCAGAGCCAAATATTCTTTTGCCAAAGCAGCAAAAAGCAAACAGCAAATCGGAAAAACGAATTCTGGCATTCTTGTGGCCTGCCCAGGCCTGTTCTGGCCGATCGAATTACGCAAAAAAATACGCAACCGCAAAGAGATGAAGACTAGAATGTTGCACACTCTCTTGATCGAGGGCACCGTAACACTCGTGTGTCCTCGAGTGCGGATGAATGGGACGTTATGGGATAGAAAGAAGATATAGGGGCGTCGTCGGGAGACAGAAAAAATTAATTGACGCCATCAGGTCTTCAGGCTGTTTGCCGTCATGTTGTTGGTTTTGTAGTCTGCGAAAGACCAGACAGGGGCCAGATATGTGTACGTACATATACCCGTATATAATATTCAAAAAGTCGGTTTCCATGGATACATACGAGGGCGAGTTTATTCAGGTATATATTTTGTCCGTTAATTTTTAATGTGCATTGCATAAAAGTCAGCTTGGAAATTAATTAATGATAATTTATGTTGGCTGCAAGCGTCGCAAATGAGCACATCATAAAATTTTTTAAAACATGCTGCTGCTGCTGATTGAACTTTAAGGCACACATAGCAAGCGGCAACACCATCAGCAGCAGCAGCAACCAATAAAAAATAATAATAAAAAGACACCGAGAGAAACATCAAAAAGGCAAAAAAAAAATATGAATAAAAGTATACAGTAATTATACAAAAAAAGGGCAAAAGATAAACATATACATATATGTTTGTACATATATTCGTAGATTTCTATATTTTTATAAACTTTATATTAAGCAACAGCCGCCGCCTGATTTAGATAAAATTTAGTTTCTGTTCCAGTTACTAACAAGTGGAATAAATCACTAACAGGTGCCATGCCTAGGAATCTGCATTACGACCGAACCAAACATAACCGAACACTAATTCCAATTAGTAGTTTTTGTATCTGTATTTCAATCTCTCTTCTGTTTTCTCCATATTCCAGATACCCAAGAAGCGCCGCATCGTTGCACGCGTCCAGTGTAGGAACATTAAGAACGAGTGCCCGCCGGCCAAGTGCGACGATCCCATCTCGCTGCCCGGCAAATGCTGCAAGACCTGTCCCGGTGATCGCAATGGTAAGTACATATCATTTTAGCTATCCTTTTTCGGGGGAAACACTTCTTCCGATCCAATCAATCCATCAACCAATCTGAACATATTCTAGTGATACATTCAGCGCTGTCATTACCACCTTCTGATCTATTAAGATATGATAAATCATCACAAGGCGGCGATCCCTTTTTCGGGATACAAATTTTCCAAACTGATTCATGCCCATAAATTCTGGAATATGTTTCAATATTTTGACACTTTCAATTTCCCCGTCCGATATCTATTTGATCGTATAAATCTGGATTAGATGGAATAACCCACAGATCCGACAGCTCTCTGTATCTGTTTGTTTCGATATATACATATATACCCCATGCATATATGTAGGTGGGGCCTTCTTCTATATAGCCATGAATAATTAAGCATAGCATCCACGGCAGCTGGCTGTGTGGACAAACGACGAGTGAGACAGACAAACGAGATTCTATGATGCTATTCGGCATCGGCGGTGTCCATCTCATTCCCCCTGCCTCGCCGTGTCACCACATCCTCTCACTGTCTGATACATGGCCGAGTTGGTGGCCGAAACGCGTAAATTGTTTATGAAAAATTACTTGGCCTGAAATGAAGGTCAACACTACGCAATTTATATTTCGTTTTTATGTCTCAGTCAGCGTTTGTCAAGTATTTTCATTTGAAAAGTGGTCTCTTTGGGGCACACATGACGCATTTCGAAAGGCTTTAATAGATCAATTATTGTACACTCCAAAGAGACAGAGAGAGCAGCTATGTATATACATTACATACATATAATATAAATATAATATAAATATATGTATCTATACGATCCGATCTCTGAAGTTAAAGCTTGCCCATGAGAAGTGGAGTGGAGATATTTTGCGAAATATCAAACCCAAGCAGTTGTCAGACCTCCTCTCTATATACTACATATAATATGTCTGTATACGTATGTTTCCTACAGATATACATATGTATATATAAATATATATAATTTATGATTGGGTATATGGAGGAGCATAGCTGAATCACTGTTGGCTTTGGCTAATTTTCTGCATGTATTGAATTCACAACGAGAAGGAAAGTTTTGAGTCGCTTCTGTGGACGCGACTCTACTTTTATACCCGTACTCAGACAGTATATTAATATGTGAGATTATGATATTTGTGGAATTTCAAAATAGTATACATTTTAAATTTTTTTTCTACATCTAACATCTAAATCTACTTCTACCATGAAGATTGTACATCTACTCCGCCTCCAACTAGGCTATTGGTGCTGATCAAGAATATATATACTTTACTTTTACCAAAAATATAATATACCTCTTAACTCTTCGAGTACGGGTATAATTAGAACAGATTTTGGTCACAGATTTCTCCGCTCGCTCTCTCTCTCTCTATCTCTAACTCTTTCTCTGCTCTTCTCTCTTTTCCTCTCTCTATGTGACATTTTTCACATAATCAGGCACAGTGCTGCTTGAATTCCAGTGCCTGTCCCCAAAGCTGCAGCCTGTGGTGGTTGCCTGTGTGGCATGGAGCAAACTGGTTCGTTGCCACCGAACGGGAATGGAAGTGGGTAGTGGGTAGTGGGAATGGGGATGGTTGGTATGGGTATGGGGTATGCAAGGAAGATCGGCTTTGGCATCACATCATTAGTTTCCATTTTCTTGCAATTTTTCATTTGCTTATGCAAATAGCCGTTGACCCCATCGAGACCTTCTACTGCTACGATCAAAATTGCCCCTTCTCACACAATTTCACTTTTATTGAGTTATTTTGTAGCTTTTCTCTTCTCTTTTTGGCCAAAGGGCAGAGCCTGAGACCGAGCCACAGGATGGGACACATCAAGAGGCTGCCACTGAAAGAGACTCCCAACGACCCGAACCTGCAACTCGTTTGCCATAAATAGTTAGATGGCGCGGCTCCAGCTCTGTCCAGAGGATACTCTTTGGCTCTCACGCAGTCAGCCAGTCCAGTCCAGTCAGCCATTCAGACAGTTGGCCATCCAATGGACATCCATTGGCCATCCCATCCCATCCCTGGTTCCAGCTTTTGTACAAAAATTTGCAGCATCAGCGGAATCAGCATCAGCAACTACTTGCAACGACCGTTTCCAAAGTTATTTTGTGCCTAACTTGGATTTTTCTGCCTTCATAGTTGACTTACAGTCAAACCTCGCGAGTGTTGCATCCCGGCAAGGGGCACTGAATAGCGGCTGTTTCTCTTAGTGCGACACCACTGTGGTCCCAGTTGTCAGCCCAGGCCCGGAGCTGGTGCCAGAGCCGAGGCTGCTGAAGCTCATGACATGGCCATATCAGCCAACATCAGCAATCGCCTTCCTTCGTTAAATGTCCATTTCGGGATCGAATCTTTTGGCTCTTCTTCACTGTTGCTATACTCTCCTCCCCCTCACTCTCTCTCTCTCTGTCACTCTATTCCAAGCGATCCAATCCATCTGCTCCATCTACGCTCTGCTGAGCATTAATTTATGCCAGTGCTCTGTTGTTTTTTTTGTTCATTCGTTCATTTTTATAATGACATAACTCGAGCATTTTAACGCTTATTAAATTATCTCATTTGCCGCCACAAACGGCGGGCGGTCCCAAACAGATACAGAGGGAACGAACCGAGGGGAAGGAGTGGCAGTGGGCAGAGTAGCGGGGTATATCGCCAGGTAGACAATAAAAGTTAGTGTTTTCGATTCCAATCGATTCCAATGGCTGCTGCTGCGGCTACGATCCCATTAAGCGAACCAAACCAAACCGAACCGACAGCACGTTGACAATTTAACTTGATGACATTTTTTGTGGTCAGCTGCTCTTGGTCGGTGTTGCCTTCCCTGTCCCTTCCCCACTGTACTATGTAGTACTTTCCCTTCCAAGTTGGGATCGGAGGATCGTCGTTCCCAGCAACTTTGTAGTAGGGCAGGGTATGAGACCGGGATTGGGATGGGCCTGCGAGCCACAAAAGGATCGACTGAACCAAATTCATTTTTATGGCCGGGCGTGAGGTGCGCCATCGAACAATAAAATCTTCAACTTTATCTTTATCGGTTCTGCATCGGCAATGGAACTGTCTATTATGTTGGGCATGTCTCTCCGCACGTCTCTTCGCACTCTTTCTACCTCTTCAGAGCAGCAAAAGTAGAGCAGGCGTTCTTACGGTTTGTTTTTATTGGAGATTTTCGGATATGCAATAAGCACCGAAGAAATAGAGCTAACAAGGGACTAGAACTATTATCTAAATCAAATGATCTAACAGAGATAAAGAGAGAGGGGCAACAGATTAGTGTAGATCGGCAGTGGGGGAACTCAGGGTTGGGGGATCGCTGGGGGAACTGTAGCAATGATAAAAGAAAAGAAAGATTTGTTAGTGTGTGTGTGTTATGGGATGAAAAGGCATACTTTTTCTAGGACTACTTTCACGACTCTCTTTTTCAAGTCCAAAGAGGAAAATCCTATTCTTCTTAGGACATTCGTCCTAAAAACGATTCCATTCCCATTCCCATCTGCTCTGCTTGGCTCTGTTTTTCGAACCGGAACCAGTTAACTTGCCTCTGTCCGTCTCTGTCCCTTTGGTTTTCTCTATGTAGCTCCAAGCTCGACATACACTTTCAAACGATTTTTGTTAATGAGCTGCCGCCGACAGAGATTCTTTTTGAGGGGCAGGGACTGGGGGCACCACATACCAAAGCGTCGAGTCAATGCTGAGGTGTCGTTTGTCTCTCAGTCTTGGCTTTGTCGGCTTCGCTGTCCCCTGTCTGCTTAACCCTCACTCTTCGCCTTCCCTTCTCCTGTTTACCTGTATCTTGGATGGGCAACGTGTCGATGGCTTTGTAGCCCGAACGAAACTCATTTATCTTGGCTTATATAGGAGAAGAGCCCACAAAAACGAAACTAAAAATTTCATTCATCTGCAAGCGCGATTTAAGGGCAGATTCCTTTGTCCGTCCGGCCACGGCCTGAGGACGGCATGGCCCGAACCAATAAGCCCCAAGAATGTAGAGCCACATATTGAAAAAGAAATAAAGAAAAAGCCAAAACCGACACTAAGAAGACCCAAACGCGGGTCCCTAGTCCAGAAGTGGCTCGTATTAAGATCAGGCGATAAGATCGGACAGCAGCCGCCGCCGCAGCCGCCACTGCCGCAACAGTAGAACAGGGATGGGGTCCAGGGCCAGGGCCAGGGCTTCGACCGGGGCTCAATAAAATGCTACACAAGGTGTCAGATTTGTCGCCCTTCATTATGCGATGGCGGCAAGAAGTTCCCGTCTTCTGTTCGAGTATTCTTTTCACATTTTTTGCGGCTTACGAGCTATAAAGCTGGGTTCGGGCTAATGTTGTGCGAGGATGGTGTTGCGGTTCGGGTTGACGGCCTTCGAGAAGGAACAGCATAAAATAAGCAAAATGCCAATGCAGCATCATCGACTGCAGCTAACGAAGGAGAGGATCGGAATGGTTTGGTTCGAATGGGATAGGATCGAATGGAAAGGCACTGCTCCAATGTTAAATGATGTTTTATAAGAGAGACTGAGACTTAGAGAGAACTGCTCCTCAAAGGGCATCCCAGGTTAGCTTTAATCAGCTTTTGTCAGTCGTCTGCCAGGCTGCTTCCACTTCTAACGAACTCAGAGACCTCGACCCGAATGCCGAGTGCCGAGAACCGCTGATGGTTGTTGAAGGTGATTTATGTGGCCTCTGGGCCTCAGACTTCAACTCGGGCTGGTGTCAATCAAGTCCCCTGCCGTGTACCCCGGTATCGGTCCCGGAAATGTGTCCACCTACTTTCACGCCAAGCAACAGCAAATGAGCGTGACATGTGGATTCCAGGAATTCTGTGGCATTCTCAGGCATTCACTGGCTATACTTGTACGAATATATATAGGGCCTCTATACGTTCGTACTTCTCTACCTGCCCTAAATTTATGCACGATTAATGAATGCCACCTGGGTAGAACGGGCAACGAGACGAGACGCGAACCGAACCGAACCTACCCGATCCTCTCTACCTGTGATCCCCGCCATTCATTGAGGAGGATCTACATACATATGACGCATCAGCTTTCCAGCCGTTCACTCAGCATTCCCTCTTCCAGCCATTCATTCAATCGGACCGACAGAGAGAGAGAGAGAGAACAGGATAGCAGGAAGAATTCCTAGGGGCCGGTGCATTGCTTTGAAGCATTTGTTTCCATCTAAATTCCATTTAAGGTCGTGTCGTGGCTTATCTGACAGAATCTCTCATTTTCTATTCTCTTCAATTTGCAGATACGGATGTGGCCTTGGATGTGCCAGTGCCCAACGAGGAGGAGGAACGCAACATGAAACGTAAGTAGTGATTCAAGAAACATACAAACCTCTCTTATACGTCCATCCACCCATCAACGTCTCCAATGCTAACCTCCGCATCTCCAAACCATCTCTTTCATTATTAAGATTACGCTGCGCTGCTGACGGGCCGTACATCGTATTTCCTCAAGGGCGAGGAAATGAAGTCCATGTACACCACCTACAATCCGCACAACATTGTTGCCACCGCCCGTTTCCTGTTCCACAAGAAGAACCTCTACTACTCTTTCTACACATCGTCGCGCATCGGCCGCCCGCGTGCCATTCAGTTTGTGGACGATGCTGGCGTCATACTCGAGGAGCATCAGCTGGAGACGACCCTCACGGGCACCCTCAGTGTCTATCAGAACGCCACTGGAAAGATCTGCGGCGTGTGGCGCCGTGTGCCCAGGGACTACAAGCGCATCCTGCGCGACGACCGGCTACATGTGGTACTACTGTGGGGCAACAAGCACCAGTCGGAACTAGCCCTGGCCGGGAAGATAGCGAAGTACACGGCCCTGCAGACGGAGCTGTTCAGCTCGCTGCTGGAGCCGCCCCAGAGCCTACCCGGCAACAAGTTCGATTCCATGCTGGCCGGAGCCGGTGGCACGGCCATTGTCTCGACCAGCAGCGGGGCGGCCTCCTCCATGCACCTGACCCTGGTCTTCAACGGCATCTTCGGAGCGGAGGAGTTCGCGGACGCCGCTCTCAGCGTGAAGATCGAGCTGCCAGAGCGCAAGGAGCTCATCTTCGATGAGGTGCCACGGGTACGAAAGCCTTCGGCCGAGATCAATGTGCTAGAGCTCTCCTCGCCCATCTCCATTCAGAGCCTGCGCCTCATGTCCCGCGGCAAGCTGCTGCTCACCGTCGAGTCTAAAAAGTACCCACAGCTGCGCATCCAAGGCCACATTGTGACGCGGGCCAGTTGCGAGATCTTCCAGACACTGCTGGCGCCACACAACGGCGAACCCGAAACCCGGAGCAGCGGGCTGGCCTGGGTCTACCTCAACACGGACGGATCGCTGGCCTACAACATCGAGACGGACCACGTGAACACCCGCGACCGGCCGAACATCAGTCTGGTGGAGGAGCAGGGCAAGCGCAAGGCCAAGCTGGAGGATCTAACGCCCAGCTTCAACTTTAACCAGGCCATTGGCAGCGTGGAGAAGCTCGGTCCCAAGGTGCTCGAGTCCCTCTACGCTGGAGAGCTTGGCGTCAACGTAGGCACTGAGCACGAGATCAGCCTCATCCGCGGGCGCCTGGTACCGCGGCCCGTGGCCGATGCCCGCGACTCCGCCGAGCCCATTCTGCTGAAGCGTCAGGAGCACTCTGGGCTGGCAACCAGCAACAATCAGTCTGGCCATGCCATGGGCATGGCCTGGATGTCCATCGACAATGAGTGCAATCTGCACTACGAGCTGACGCTGAGTGGAGTGCCGCCGCAGGATTTGCAGTTGTATCTGGAGGAGAAGCCGATCGAGGCTATCGGCGCACCGGTGACACGCAAGCTGCTCGAGGAGTTCAACGGCTCCTACTTGGAAGGCTTCTTCCTGAGCATGCCCTCCGCGGAGCTGATCAAGCTGGAGATGAGCGTCTGCTACCTAGAGCTGCACTCCAAGCACTCCAAGCAGCTCCTGCTGCGCGGCAAGCTCAAGAGCACCAAGGTGCCCGCCCACTGCTTCCCCGTCTATACCGACAACAACGTGCCCGTGCCCGGAGACCACAACGACAACCATCTAATCAACGCGGAGACCAAGTGCTTCCACTCTGGCCGCTTCTACAACGAATCCGAGCAGTGGCGCAGTGCCCAGGACGCCTGCCAGATGTGCGCCTGCCTGCGGGGACAGTCCAACTGCGAGGTGATCAAGTGCCCGACTCTCAAATGCCGCCCCTCGGAGCAGCTGCTTCAGCGTGAGGGCGAATGCTGTCCAAGCTGCGTGCTTAAGCGGGAGACAACTGCCGCCGCCTCGGATTGGACACAGTCCCAGGGATCATTCCCCTCCGCCTCATCCTCGCCTGCGGTTAATGGCAGCGATGAGCTGCTGCAGCAGCAGCGACGCGGCTGCCGGCTAGGTGACCAGTTCCATGCTGCAGGCGCCAGCTGGCATCCGTTCCTGCCTCCCAATGGCTTCGACACCTGCACCACCTGCAGCTGTGACCCACTGACGCTGGAGATCCGCTGTCCGCGGCTCGTGTGCCCACCGCTGCAGTGCAGCGAGAAGCTGGCATACCGCCCGGACAAGAAGGCCTGCTGCAAGGTCTGTCCTGAGGGCAAGCAGAGCAGCCCAGCCGGTGGCAAGATCGCCCCAAACAATCCCAATGTGCTGCAAGACCAGGCCATGCAGCGATCCCCGCAGCACAGTGCCGAGGATGTCCTGGCCGCTGGCGGCTGCAAGGTGGTCAATAAGGTCTACGAAAACGGACAGGAGTGGCATCCTATTCTAATGTCGCACGGCGAGCAGAAGTGCATCAAGTGCCGTTGCAAGGTAAGTTTCGATCGAAAGATACATACATATATGTGCATATATCCCATTCCTCAGACTTCTTGCTTGGCAATGACTAATCCCTGAATATTATTTTTCTCTGACTCTTATAGGATTCCAAGGTGAACTGCGATCGGAAGCGCTGCTCACGATCCACTTGCCAGCAGCAGACGCGGGTTTCTAGCAAGCGGCGCCTCTTCGAGAAGCTCGACTCAGCCCCGGCTATGGACGAGTGCTGTTCAACGCAATGCCGCCGCTCGAGGCGCCATCACAAGCGGCAACCGCACCACCAGCAGCGCTCTAATGCCGCCTCCAGCAGTTGAGCGCGGATCCGCCGTGAGCAGCCGTGAGCAGCCGGGAAGCAGCGGGAAAGCGAAGGATTCTTGGGCCACACACACACTCAGTGCGGTGTGTGCAGGGCCAGAGACACCTATATACACACATACAATTCACATATACCCAGATAAACACACCACACACACACGTATACACACACACACACACACACACACATGCGGGGTTGCATAGATCGTTGTTGTTTTGTGGCAACAATGGAAACTTGTATTATATAAACAAATGAGAGGGCAGAAAGAGCAGGAGGAGCGAGAATGATCCCCAGAATGGACATACACCCTTCAAAAGATCCTCAAAGAGAGAGAGAGAGAAGAGAATCCTCTCATACAGAAGGAGAGCTTGGAAGAGAGCAAGAGATAGAGAGACAGACAGAAAGAGAAACCAGTGCAGTTTTGCTTTAAAATTCAACAGGGCAGAATTTTTCTTTGAAAAGCATTTTCCGAATTTCTTTAACCAACCCACCCACCCTTTCCCATCCTGAAAAACAATGATTAAAATTCAATTTTAATTTATTACCAAAACGAATTAAAGAAGATAATTCGATTGAAAATGAAACTGTACTGAGTTTTAGAAAAACAGTAAATTCGTGGAATTAAAGTCCACAAAGAAAAAGGATAGCAGGAAAGAAAAATATTCAATATTTCAATTTATTTAAATACTAATTTAAATTTAAATTTGAAATGCAGAAAGAGTAAAAAATACAACAGTTTGTGGGAATATTTAATGAAAGCTAATTATTCTAATTATACATACATATGTATGTGTGTATAAATTACATATATAAATACTATATTTTTTTATATATACAATAAATATATATATATATATATATATATATATATTTATATATATAATATATATACATATATATTCGAAAAATATATACATATATTTATCACTTATGAGAAAAAAACACAGTGGGAAACGCATTTGGCGCATTACTTTATACCAACCCAAAAGTTTCAACTGATTGACTGAATGGCAAATATAAAACTAGTTTTTAAGAAAGCTTTTTTTTTTTATTTTACGAAACAAAACGTGAAAAACGAACATTATATTTTACTAATTGTTACTCACACCAGCATACACACATACATTTAGAGATTTACACACTAGTGTTGGGTAAAGGGTTTTCACTTTAGTGAACAAGCTCACTTCACTCACTGAAGTGAACAACTCTTTTTTTTACTCACTCATGGCCAACCCAACTCTATTTCACAGATACATTTAACAGAAATTCTTTAAATAATTAATTTTTTAAAACAAAACAAAACGATACAAAAAAATAGCGAAAATAATTCTAAAAAATGCCATGTACACATATTTATACACACACACATAAAAATACAATTGAAAAAAACATTTACCGCAAAAAAAGAAAGTGTATTAATTTTTATTCTATTAAATTATTCTTATTATTATTTTATGTTTATTATTATTATTACTTTGATTTTTTTTTATTTTGTATAGATAATAATATATTATATTATAATTATACATTATTTTACAACTAAAAATAATTGATTGATTATTTGTAATTAATTAATTGCCAGCAAACACATATTTAAAAATCTTGACAAATTACGTACAGTTAGAGTTGAACAAAAAATGAAATGAAAATTTAAAATCAACAACATCAAAACACACACACACAGAATAAAACAAAACAAAATATAAAAAGAGATATTTTTAATTTTTATTATTATTAATTGGATAAAAGCATTTGGGGGGACACACGGACCAGAATCCATATTTTTCGACCGGAACGTTACAAACATCTGTCCAATTGAATAACACCACATGGAAGGAAGGGTTACTGATCTATATTACTGATCTGTTTACTGATTACTGAGCCAGAGATCTTTCTACATATTAGGCAACTCAATTTCAAAAGAGCAGTTTACCGCCAACATTTACAGACTGACAGACCGACGGACGGATGGATGGATAGTCGGTAGTTTAAAGAAATTATCTCTCAGTTTTTACATCCGACACACAACACTTAAAATTATCCAAATGGCTCTTATGGCCTTGAGTATGATGATTGCTAAATGCCTTTTTTTCGGTTCAACCAAAGACAATATAATAATAAGATGCGTAAGATTGACTGATTGGAAAATAAAAATTTACCTATTGAAACGACGCACGCTAAATACCCGAATAACAATTGCTAGTACATATGTTGCTAGTATGCTCATTATATGCATACATTCTATATTCTGTAAAAAACCGTATGCTTGCAGGCAGATCTAGAATGCTTGACAATACGTGTGTACACGTATCAATGCTAAAGTCTTTGGCGCGGCACAGTGGGTAATCAGCCGAAAAAGGGTTGCACAGGTCAAAAAATATTATGAGCGCTTTGGATAAAATAAAAAAACGCTTCTAGAAGAAAATTTTTTCAGAGAATATGAGATAGTAGCAATTAAAGTTGAAAATGGTTTCAGTGTGAAATAATGTATTGAGCTCTTATTCGCTTATTAATTTAGCCAGCTGATCTAGGCAATGGACCCACTGTGCGAAAGCATGCATATGCATGTGCAGACGAAGCCGTTAGGCAGCGGGCTCGCTGTCAAAAACGAAGCGTAGCCGAAAACAGAATTGAAACCCCGCCATAGAACCGGTTTTTTGGTCGCTCATGCAGCATCTTGTTATTGTCTTTGATACAAGAGAGCGGCTGGCTCTAGAGCTGGCTCCAGGCTTTCTTGAAATTTTGTTCAAAAACCAGAGAGAGAAAAATTTCGTATAGCCGTAACGCATCTTATTATTATATTGTCTTTAGTCAAACCGTTTCATTAGGCCAAGGCGGAGAAGATATTCGCCAATCTTTCACCGGCATTATGGTTGTCTGTCCGTCGGCTGTTTGTGAACAGAACAGAATCTGCTGATACTTTTGAACTGTTGTACAACTGGTGCTTCAGGATCGGGACTTAATTAATTTCATGCATTTATTGTAGATTTCTTCGAGTAACCACTGTAAATTCTTTATAAATTCACTTATCATTAATCAATTTAGAATACACTTGTGATTGAATCGAGTATTTGGTAAGAAGGAATTATTGATCAAGGCTTAGCCCCAGGAATTTTTGAGTAAATTTAATCCATGAACAACCTGTGCATATGTATGTATGATCGGTTCACAGTGTGTACACGTATGTAGTCATAGTACCAATAAAACACATGATCTAATAAATATGCATTCGCTTGACTTGGGTGGAGTTCACATAGATAAGGAGTAGATCGGGAGTCAATTTTTGGGACGTTTAGAAACCTATTCAAATACCATCGTGGCTGCTCGATTGTTGTCGCTGCTGTACAAGTACTCGTAGTAGTACTCTTATTCGTATTCGAATGAAATCGAATAATTAAATACTGGCATAGTCACACCTTGTTGACAATTATTGACAGGCTGATTGGCAAACAAATGAATACTTTGCCATTGCCGTTTCGACCTGTCTGTAGAGGGGAGCGGCCCCGTGGGCGCGTCCATGCTGCGGCACGACAATTCTCCAGGTGAATGTGTAAGATTGGGGCTGTGTTTATGGGTGTGTGTGTGTGGGTGGTAGGTGTTTTAAAGGTAGTTGGTAGGTGGGTGTGGTAGCTACCGAAAGCGTGCGCCACAACCACACAACCGCAGCGGAGAAGAGATCCCAATCTCACATCATCCATCATGGGATAGCCATCTAGCTAGGGTATCCAAGCACTCGGCAGCATTCGCGTTGGCGTGGCGTCGACAGTATCTTCGGGGCTATCGCATGCCATCAGCATCAGCCATCATCTTATAAGTAGAGACTATTACAATTTTCATTCGGATTCGCATTCTCATTTTCACTCAGTGCCATCAATTAATTGAGTTGGCCACACCATTGGCGAGGGGGCACCGGCTTGGCACCCACATTCGACTCTAAGCCCATAAACCCCCACAGCCAACTAACAACTAGGGCTATCAGCCAAATGATATCTGCAGTGGCTTATTTATGTGTCACACCGAACACGCTCACGACATTTGAGCGGAGATGGAGATGCAGACAGAGCCGCAGCCTCAGTGCCAGTCACAGTTCCAGTAAGCCAGTCACACTCATAGTCATCCATTATCCGTAGCTGTCTTTGCTGTGCCTCCTGAGTCTGAGTCTAAGTCCAAATCTAGCTCTGAGTCTGGCTCTGGCACAGGTGCTCTCTCTCCCTCTATCTCTCTGTTATTTGCAGCAAATATGCAAAGCATGTTTAAACTTTATTGATATACATTGTGAATAAACGTTTTCCTAACTTTGTTGTGATTGCAGCTGTCAGTGCACGGCACTCACCGACATCAATTCCACTCCGAGTGCCAGACACGCGACGTGTTACACTCTCAAAGCACTCCCCAGCAGCATTGATCTTAACTTTGTTCAAGCACAACTTTAATTAGATCATGATACTTATACGAGTAAGTACACAATAATTGTAATTCGTGCCAGGTTAGCCGATGATTTCATCTTTCAACACTCGGATAGATTTACACTTGATCTTGATCTATTTACTTTTATCACGTAAAATAAAGTTGTGGGATCGGATTGAAATGAGATTTTACTTGGAACAGAACTTTCTAACGTACATATATTAATATGTACATTAGAGTGGGCCGAAAGTCCAAATTTTTTGAAATTGTAGCCGGGCGTTGATAGAAAGTTAGAAAGGGATTATAAAACAAGGGGAAAACACAATTTTTTAAATCGGTAAAAAAACCGTTCATATACCGTGAATTATAAAGAATTTAAGTGCATAAACTAACTGGCGGTCGGATATGGTTATTTTTTCAGAACATTTCTTCACTTAAAAAAAATTTGGACTTTCGGCACACTCTAATGTATGTACATATGTAGCCATCTCCATAAGATCTTTCAAAGAGAAATGTGTTAACCCTCATTCGATTAATTGATTAGTTGAACTCTGAGTAAAAATCTACAGAATAAAGATCTACAGACCTTTCCTTTCTTGGGCGCCCAATCTGCGCACAGCCGTTCCGCCCACAAGAAATTGCTTCACTTTGTATTTGTCACATCTTCCACTGCACCCACTGTCTCCTTTTTATTCTGCACTCCGGTTACACTTGGTTTGGTTGGGCTCTTCGCTGATTGTTAACTGATTGCATACAAATATGCCTGAGAAGGGGTGAAATCATGATGACACTCGTGTCACCGGCTAATTGCCACAACAAGCTCTCCACAACAAACTCAACGGAGCAAAGCTGGATCGCATTCGCCAATCAGCGCACATAAGGGGATACGGAATAGTTTGAGTTGCAAAAGATCAGAACAAATTTGAACGTTTTGTCTTATCACTCTGGAGTTTATCTGAAGGCGTTATATTGTGGCGAAACGAAGTTCGCCGGGTCCTCTAGTGTACTATAAGCTCACAAAGTTCTTTCTTGTTTTCTCTGGATTTTGATGACAATATTTGAGAGAAGAAGAATTTGGTTCTTATTCCTCGAATTAAAATTGTCAAAAATCAATCCGTTAACCTGCCAGAAAGCAGAGAATACTCTCATTAAACATAGCGATGATTGTGGAACCGAATCGTTTAGCATCCCACCCCACAGATTTCTACGTAAAATTAACACAAAACACAATTTAGTTATTTTTGTTTTTACTCAAAAAGAGATAAGGGGTATATTGTATTTGTGGTAAAAGTGGATGTGTGTAACGCAGAGAAGGAAACTTATCCGACCCCATAAAGTATATATATTCTTGATCAGCATCAATAGCCGAGTCGATATAGCCATGTCCGTATGTCCTTCTGTCCGTCTGTCCGTCCGTCCGTCTGGCCGTCTTGTTGAGCGCCTAGATCTCAGAGACTATAAGAGCTAGGGCAACCAAATTTGGTTTCCAGACTCATGTGATATCACACTGCTACAAGTGTGTTTCAAAATTTCGCCCCGCCACCTTCCACCCCCACAAAGAACGAAAATCTGTGGCAGGCACATTTTTAAAGATACGATAAAACTAAAAACGCAGTATTATAGAAAATGACCATATCTACCAGATTGCCGAATCTGAATAAGATCGGATCATAATTATAGCCAGAATGAAGAAAATAATTTTCAGTTGCTTCCCCCCCCTCCTGCAAGAGACCAGCTACTCATTCTCTTTCTAGCTCGCACACTCTGCCGCGTTCAGTGCGCGAGCGCCCTCTAGCGAAAATGATGTAGAATCTAAATGGTACATGTAGAATCTACATGTTAGATGTAGAATCTACATTGTAGACGTATTTGTGGATAACTGATGTAGCAAAAAATTAAAAATTTTATTTTAAATTCAAAAATTCTAAAATATCATAAGCTCAAAAATGTACATACTGACTGAGTACGGGTGTAAGTAGATTCGCGTCCCCAGAAGCGACTCACACGTTCCTTCTCGTTGATTATGGGGTCTCGCGATCTGACATAATAATAATAAGTACTTTGTAATGTACTCGTATTGTAGGAACAAAACAAAAAAAAAACGAGAAGGAACGTGTGAGTCGCTTCTGGGGACGCGACTCTACTTATACCCGTACTCAGTCAGTATATACATTTTTGAGCTTATGATTTTTAAGAATTTTAGAAAAAAAAAATTTTACATTTTACATTTTTTTGCTACATATGCTATCTACATCTACATATACAATGTATATTCTACATCTTACATGTAGATTGTACATGTTCCAATTAGATTCTACATCTCCTCCGCTAGGGGTTGCTCGCGCACTGAACGCGGCAGAATGTGCGAGCGAGAAGGAAAATTAGATGCGTTGTCGTTGGCGGGCGGGGGGAAGGGAAGCAACTGAAAATTAATTTCTTCATTCTGGCTATAATTATGATCCGATCTGATTCAAATTCGGCAATCTGGTAGATATGGGCATTCTCTACGATACTGCGTTTTTAGTTTTATCGTATCTTTAAAACTGTGCCTGCCACAGATTTTCGTCCTTTGTGTGGGCGGAAGGGGGCGGGGCGAAATTTTGAAATACACTTGTAGCAGTGTGATATCACATGAGTCTGGAAACCAAATTTGGTTTCTCTAGCTCTTATAGTCTCTGAGATCCAGGCGCTCATCAAGAGGACGACGGACAGACGGACAGACGGACAGACGGACAGACGGACGGACAGACGGACATGGCTATATCGACTCGGCTATTGATGCTGATCAAGAATATATATACTTTATGGGGTCGGAAACGTTTCCTTCTCTGCGTTGCACACATCCACTTTTACCACAAATCTAATATACCCCTTAACTCTTTTTTGAGTACGGGTATAAAAAACTGTGGGAAAAACCAGACTAAATTTAATTTTTATGAATTGGAATCGAATATGGGGTGCTTTAAAAACTGGAGCTGGAACCCGGGAAGGGACAACCTGGACTTAACCATACTCGTGGCGTCAACAAATTTGGAACTAATTATAGATGCAGGCGGCATAGCCCAAAAGTGGAAACAGTCCGTTCCAGTTCCAGTTTCACTCCCAACTCGACTTTGGTGGTGACTGCGGGGAAACGGGGGACAAAGGTGGGCGGTCAATTCCAAATGCCGACCAAAGCGGAATAAGATAAACCGAACTGAACCGAACCGGCATGGAGTGGTCATGAATGAAATTTAACCCAAACCCGCTGCTTTCTGGATGGATGTCTGGTTGGTTTGTGGGACGGATGGTTGCATGGATGAATGGATGGATGAGTAAGTGGGTGTCGTTGGCTTCAGCTTTAGCTTTGGTTTTGGCGCGTTGGCGTTGAAGGCAAAGTGTGAAACTAATTTGTCAGCATGAAAATAACAGCCAATAGCCATAAACCTCATAATAATATTCAATAAACATCAGCAAAGTGCGCCAATTAATACTAACCGGAACCGATTTAGCCAAGGAACGTAGAATTAATGAAATGGAATGGCATAAAATGGAAGGAATTGGTGAGGGAAGGAATTGGTGTTTGTGAAGTACCATAGAAACGGAAAGGATGGTGATTAAACGATGACGAACGGAAGGTGCATATTTAACTTTCATTGAATGGAAACAAAATGATGTTGAAATTCATTCATGGAATTTCATGAAAATGGAAGAACAAGAGAAATAGTGTAGATCGGGGAAGAATCATTTACATACATATGTAGATAAAATGCCAAACCTACAAACTGTTGGCCCATATTTAGTTCAGATTATCTTAAATACTCTTGGCCTAACGCATAAGTTATGCCTGGTTTTTGTAAGTAACTTTTTTTCGATCCATTTCATTTTTCAGCATTTTCCAGTCTTTTCCACTCTGCTGCTGGTGCTGCTGCGGTAGCTCCGTACTCGTATCCGCACAATGCACAGTGGGTGCAATTATATGGGGAGAGAGGCCAAAGATACTTCTAGTAGACCGTAGTCAGACGTCCACAACCAGAATAATTGGTTCAGAATTTTTCTTATATGTTATTTTATTCACAATGATAATTTTGTATCCATCAAAAGCGATAAATACTCTTCAATTTTGCCTCTGAAGATAAATTGTTTGAAGGGAAATCAAAAGACCACGACACGGAAGCAGCAGGCTCGTCATATTTTGCAAGCTTAGCTATTCGACATCTTTTTGTCCGTTTTGATGACTTAGAAAAATCCATTTTAGGACGTCCACGACTCGAATTTGAAACTGACTTAAACAGGAAAAAAACTAGGGACAGCAAAAATAACAACAAAACGAAACGGTGAATCAAAAACGTAGGTTAGTTTATAAAATGCTACATGAGCCTCAGCCAGCTTCAGCAGTTAAACTTCACATTTTTAAAATCTGAACATATTAGCAAATAACATGTAAAAAATGTTTGAGAGACGCGGGGGGACAAACACTTAGAAACACTTCAAGGAAAGACTTAACAAAAACAAACACAAAAGCTTACGTGTAAAATAAGCTAAATCTGCATAGCATTGTAAAGTTTGGATAATCAGCTGTTCATTAAGTCAACTGTTGTTTGCAAATTTTTAAATTAATCTTTGATTTTTGGCCTATTGCACACTGTGCAATGGACAAATTTAGTGTCGCATTTCAGCAAATTTGCTACCGTTGTCCACTCCTCTGGCTTGTTGCTTGATTAAAACGTTTCAATTGTAAACGTCTCTCGCAATTTGTCAAGTCCAAGTGGCGTGTTTGTATTGCAGTTGTTGCTTAAGGCGCGTGGCGCGACTTCGAATTAAAAGCAAAAAAAATCCAAGAATGCAGCAGCCAATAGGGGGTTCGGATATGTGAAACTGAGTGCTTTAAATCAATTGATCTGTGATTTTGATTCATGGCTTTATCAGATTTTAATATCATTGCTAAAGATATTTTAGTGCAAAAGCCAACCAATATCCAAAAAAGAGCGAAAAGCTTTTTACGAAAATCCTAAAAACTATTATAGTGGCACCTATCGAATGGATGGATACAAAATAGAAGGACAGTCGTGCTACAAGGACTTCATAAGAATAAACTTTCATGGAATGTTTCATGGACAGGTTGGTGAATGTGTTATCAAATATCTTATTAAATATCTCAAAAATGTAAGGAGTTAAAAAATGTACATACGCAGATATGTATATGAGTTCGTGAAGGTTCCAAATACAACATACTACGATCTATGTATGCCAGTCTTTTATACCCCTTAGGCAATCGCTGAAAAAACAAACATCAGACTCAAATTGCCAATGTTCTTTGCATTTTATGCTCCTTTTAAAAAATAATCACGACTAATGAAAGACAACCACAGCAACACGGCATGGCTTTTGGGGTCGACCACGCCTTCTCATACAAATAGAGAGTGAGAGACCGAGAGGGAGAGACCGCCCCCACATCTGATGATTGACAGAGCGCTTGGGCACGGCTACAACACAATCGAAGCCGCTTCAATCTGGACTTCGAAGTCAACTGAAGCCGAAGTCTTAGCCAGAGCCAGAGCCAGAGACAGAGGCACATACAGAGCCAGCAACTGTCGCCATTTGGTCAGCATGCGCTGGCCATAATTTAACCAAATGTGGTGTTCCAATAATTTTTTTTCTTTATTGGTATTTTAGGCGCCTTATTACACATCGCTATCAAAGAATTATTCAACATTTTTACATTACATTACATTATTTTTTATAATAATCTCCCTCTTCACTGTTTGCTATAATTTTTTTTTTTTCAGTTTTTCATTAATGACTCCGCGAGGTAATCAATTTTTAATTTAATTTACAATTTTATTTACAAAGAAATTGATTTTGATTGTTGCGTTAAAACTACACAGCCTGCGGCTTTCGTTCAGACACAGAACCAGAGGCACAGATCGAATGAGCGAATAGAGATGGAGAGCAGAGACATATGGAGACCCAACCAGACCAGATCGGATCGGACTCCACCCCACCCCACGGCTTTGTGCTTTGGTTTGGCTTAAATCGCATACGATTTGCATGCAATTGACAGTGAAACATGTTTCCCTGGTATAATAAATAAATCAAGAATCGATGTTTGGCTGTTATACATAAAAGCCGAGGCTGTGGATACACTCTAAAAACTTTGACTTAACTTTAGAAATAATGTTATATCTGGATGGTTGGAATGGTTGGAAGTGCCTTTGGTTATGTTATGTGGATCATTACTCTATAAGTCGTACTAGGCTGAAGAGGAGTCACTGGTATCTGGACGATATGATGATCTGATAGAATTCTCATAGATATGATTATTGCCCAGATCTATTAAATTCATCCATCCATTAAATATGTATATTCCCTTTCCGGTAGCATAAAATAGACATATATATTGGATCCAAAATTATGGATTTTCAGCTCACTCTAATGTCTATACTCCCGTATGATGGATGGATGGCTGGAGAGGGCATCGAAATAGATGGAATTCCATCGTGGAAGGTGTTAAATGCAAGCGAGTGCAATTAACATTATCGCTTTTATTAGCCTGAAACGTTTAAAATTCAATTAAAGTTAAATATACAATTTCCATGCTTCCCTATGTCGACATTACATCCATTATACCCGTATTTCATTTCGTGCGATACCCTCTTCAGTTTTATTTTAATTTTATTATACCCGTACTCGAAGAGTTAAGGGTTATATATATTCGATTTGTGGTAAAAGTGAATGTGTGCAAAGCAGACCACGCTACTCATTTTCTCTTTTCACATACTCTGCCCTGTGCAATGTGCGACCTTTGCAGAAAAGATGTAGAATCTACATCAGATGTGGAATCGACATTGTATATGGGAATTTCTCTGAAGTCGAACGGGAGATTCGATGGCATTTCAAGCGGTATAAAGGTCAAAATAAGTCGGATTTTCAAAATCGTTTTACCTTTATGATACATCTCTTGACTAGGCCTATAAGTGGTGCTAAGGGCGATTTCGCACGGGACAAATATGGAAGTGATTTTTGCGCCAATCTATTCAAACTCAGATTTCAGCGAAAGTTTTGGCCATATGGTGATATAAATTTCTATACATGTTGTGCATGGATGTCTCTTAAAAATGGTTATAGTTATACACAAAAATGATTCGTGGTTTTTTTTAAATTGAATTAAGACCATATCCGCACGGGACAAAAATTCCTAGGTTAATAACATTTAAAAATATACCATTAGCCGGGACTAAAACATTTTTCTCGTATTTTTTTAAGATAGTCCAATACGTTAGAAAGATTATGAGAAAAAACTTTTCCCTAGAATGCACTTTTTTATATAAGATATTAGTAATAGAAAATATGGCTAAAGCCAAAAAAAAAAAACCAAAAAGTTAATTTTTGCTTATTTGAATAGGTTTTCACATCAAAGTTATTGAAATATATGTCATTTGGGTAAATTAGTTCTCGTTCATTAAACTTAGACTATAACATCGCAACAGAATTATATGGAAATGTGTTTTTATAGACATGTAGATGTAGATAACATATGTAGCGAAAAAATTTAAAATGTAAAATATTTTAAAATTCTACATAAATCATAAGCCTACTACTACTATACTGACTGAGTACGGATATAAAATTAGAGTCGCGTCCACAAAAGCGACTCACACGTTCCTTCTCGTTTTATCTATTAGCATGTAGTAATGTAAGCTTTGTGATACTCGTATTTTAGATCGTAAAATCATGACGCATTTCAGTTGGATTTTCATCGTGGAACTAGAGATAAACTATGGACGTGGCACCTTCACGAGGAGCAGATGGAAGGTGCGATGGAGGGTATATTTTAAATGCCGATGGGCAAACACATGTCCACTGCTGGCAGCTCCTTCCATAGGGGGAGGCAGTGATCGGCCCAGCAGGTAAATGATTAATGTGCATTTAATTGGCGGTTGACCGAATGAGCGCGAACGCGATGGCATGGGCGGTGGCGATAGAGAACAAGTCGGCGCGATAAATTCGATAAGCTAAACTGTGGGCTGCTAAATGTTTCCATTTATTAAATATTAAATGCGAGGGCTGCTATTTAAGTTCACTTTTAGAACATTAGGATCCAATAGTCATTTGCATTAAAACAGAGTTTTTGGGTACCGAAACATTGAATCTGCCCTTCAGATATGTGCTCACATCTAATAGGATCGTTTTTTTCCCCATATATAAGCAAAAAAAAAAATTGAGTGGTCAACGTTTTTTAAGTGTTTCAAAATAGGGTTTCATATTTCTGGACAGTCTTGTAAGAAACAATAAAACCATATTCAACCATCAAAGTTGGTTTTTTCTTAGTTAGGCCAGAAACATAAATAGCAACCTACGTATATAACCATCCGCAGAGGCAACAACGGAATCGCAATCGAGCAAACAAGAAAGAAATTCCAACATCAGGGGCCGAAGCCTTACAAACCCTTGCAGATTAATTATTCCAAGGGTAGCCATATAATATGCATAAATACATACATTTTTACATAGTCGTACGATGTCAAGTTTAGCAGAAAAAGTTTTAAGTCTTTCCTTCCTTCGAAATATGTACATATGTCTCATTACTTTAACTTACCTTTAGAACAGAAAAAAGGACTCACAACAAATTTTTGCTCCACAACTGAACAACTGAAACTTGTTCTTCACTCAAAGATCTGTATAGATGATCTTAGCTTCAGTGATTCGGAATTTCAATGTACAACTCTTCTACTCAGATCTGGTACCCCTCGAAAGGGTATAACTAGCAAAACGACAGCAAAATAGGTAGATAAATAAATAAATAATGTAAACAGCATCGCAGAGATCGCGGCTCATTTGCATATCAACTTTTCACATTAAATGCAATTGAGAGGTTTTCTCACTTTAGCATCATTTTAAAAATTCAATAAGCCACCGTCACCGCCTCCAACCGCAACGAACGGAACAGAACCACGATCCGGGAACTGGGAACCGGGGGCTAATGTATCTATTGCTATTCAATTTAAGCAAAAAATGTATGATGGCATTAAGGCTTAATGATTAAGCTAATGTTATATGCAAAACTCGCTTACATGCAAATGCATGTAAAATGCAAAACTAAATAGTGTTAGTCGTAGTTTACACGAAACACAACATAACCCTGCCCCTTGCCAAAGTACCAGTCACTGTCCATACTTCCGTACAGCCATTAATCCGTAATCTGTACATCATATTTCCCCAGACATTTTCATAGGTAACCGTATCGTATATACGATGTTTTACTGTCCGTTTGGGAGAATTTTGTGAGAATCCTGCCTGAATGAAGACATGAAAACAAACCTGAACAGACGATGATGACAATATTCGCAGCGAGAGTGGAGTGCAGTGTGACCGCGGATATACCAGACCCTCAAAAATATACCGAAATATACCTTCTCATTTTCATATACCGTAAATAAACCAAGGAAAATCATAACATGTATCAATTTTGATATTCGGACTAATATTACAAGATAGTTAGGACTCTCTTCACTGAACATATAATTTTATCAAATACGTGAATAAATATACTTTTTATTTCAAGCCGAAGTCAATCGCTGCTCACACATAGCTTCTCCTAGAAGGGCTGGAAAGTCGATTTTATTTTTTGTTTAAGCCTTACTTTGTAAGCATTCCAACAAAAAGGTGTCCTCAAAGCTAGCCAACCTTGTAGAAAATTTATTTATATATTGGATAAAATTATATTTTTGGTGTTGAGAGTCCTAGTTAACTGGAAACCTTAAACCGAATATCATAATCGAGGAATATGATTATTGATCATGGACCGAGACCGATTAAAGCATGGGCTATTATGAAACTTTAACATTTAAAGCGCAACTGAGGTGAAAGATATCCAGGTAATTTAACTTTGTAATTAGATAGGAAGGATAGGATGGATCTACAGTGGTGAAGCCGCAGAGATCTTGAGGGATTTGATGGAGAATTTAATTAAAATCAGCTGATTTTTCGAGGATTTATCGATAACGCTCAAAAAAGTGGGCATATATTATATACAAACACGAGTATTATGAAACTTGAAGAGTTTTAGCGCAGTTCAGGTAAAAGGTATCATAGTTTTTTTTATTAAATGAGTGACTCTGGCGACTTAGCGCATTCTGGATATTTAAAAAGATTATTTGTTCTTGTACTTTTTTTTCTGCGTTTAAAAGTGAAATTATACAAGAGATGGACATTTTGTAATAACAAGTTATACATACATAAAACAACAAATGTGTGCTTGTTTATTTGCATGCGAGTGTGTTGTGCTCTCTTATTATCTTTTTGTTTCGTGAATTGCGTGAATAGTGGAATCGTTGTAACGACCTTTGTGAACTTAGCGTCGTAACAGCAGCAACAGCAACAAAACCTAATAATAATAAACCGCGTGTGTGCATTCGCCTGCCAATCTACGCGTAATCGTAACTGCGGGTCTGTGGGTCCGGGTGTCTGTGTGTGTGCGACGGGGAACTGCGAAGCCCAGACAGATACACGCCGCGCCGGCCAAGTGTCAACAGTTGCGTACCTTGCATCCATGCATGCAGATCTTCCTTATAATTATTCACTGAAATAATTGCGACGGGCAATATTTTATTTGATATTATTAGGATTCAGTGGCACTTGAGCGCTCGGTTCGATTAAGAATTCACGTGCAGAAATTATTTGGCGGTAATTTTTGCCCATACAAAATGTAAACATAATCAGGTGTGCTGTTGAATAAACGTATGGCATGCGCCACGAGCCATCATTTTGCATTTCCCTTTCAAACCAAAATCAAAATTAACATTCCCCTCTTTCTCTAGCACAAAAAATTAGAATCCCATGTGCGTCGTTTGCTGAGGGCCGAGTACACCCATATAAGAGCCGCCACCATGTTGCAGCACACGATGACCAAGCGCAAAACGCTGATCTTTGCTTGCTTTGGTATTGCGCTGGGCCTCTGCATCGGCACCGTGCTGAAAAACTACCGCGCGCTGGAAATCGTGAAGCGGTGCAATCTGCGTCCGACGAACCTCAAGACACCCAACGAGATAATTGGGCTGGAGGACGAGGACACTATACAGAACTCGCAGCGGAATCTCGTGTTCGTTGGTGTGATGACGGCCAAGAGTTTTCTGGAAGGACGGGCGAGAGCCGTGTATGATACGTGGGGCAAGGAGGTGCCCGGTCGCATTGCGTTCTTCAGTTCGGAGGGCAGCTACTCGGAGGAGCTGCCAGTGGTGGGGCTGAAGAACGTCGACGACCGCTATCCGCCGCAGAAGAAGTCCTTCATGATGCTGTATTACATGTACGAGCACTATATCGACCGCTTCGAGTGGTTTATTCGGGCCGACGACGATGTGTACATGGAGCCGGACAAGCTGGAGCGCTTCCTGCGCTCCATCGACAGCTCCAAGCCGCAGTTCATCGGCCAGGCGGGCAAAGGCAACAGCGAGGAGTTCGGCCTGCTCTCCTTGGAGTTTGACGAGAACTTCTGCATGGGCGGGCCGGGCGTGATTCTTAGCAGCGAGACCCTAAGGCGCGTGGCACCTCACATACCTACCTGTCTCAAGAATCTCTACAGCACGCACGAGGACGTGGAGGTGGGCCGTTGTGTCCAGAAGTTTGCCGGCATACCCTGCACTTGGAACTACGAGGTAGCCGATCACACCCGTCTCCATTACTTCCGTGCTGTTTCCCGCTAACTTATTTCGCCCATTTAGATGCAGTACATCTTGCGGCACAACTCCAGCGGACGCAACGCATACACGGGCAAGCTGAAGCGCAAGGAGATACACAACGCCATCACCCTGCATCCCATTAAACAGGCGCCGCTCATGTATCGCCTTCACTCGTACATACAGGTGCGTAGGACACATGTTCCACACATCACACATTGCAGTTTACAGCCCGCTCTCTCCCCACCAAGCAGGGCCTGAAGGCGGAGGAGATGCGGCAAGAGTCTCTGCTGCTGCATCGGGACATCAAACGCATGGCCAAGTATCTGGAGGTGCCCGACGACAGCATCTACATGCTACCCAGCATCTCGCCGGACAGTGATTCGGGAAAGAGACACTTTCAGGATCACAATATACTAGGTACGTCCCGTCGCCATAGTACATTTTCTTCATTAAACATTGTATTTGAGAGAACGCTAAAACCAAAGAGAAAAAGAAACTTAGAAAGATGTGTCGACTTTTCGCTGAAGCTCGCATGGAGTGGCGCCTGAATCTAGTCCCGCCGCATAGCCCATTAGGTGGGGCAGCAGATTTTGTTCCATGATGCCGCTAAAAAGATGCGACTTAGGACCCATGGCAAAGACGGCCACGTCCTCGCCCGAGTGGACGCCCTTACGACCGTGAATGTAGCTGGGTGTGAAGGAAGCTGCAAGATAACAAAGAAGGAGAGCTCAATTATTGAAGCAACGATCTCATGGATGATTCAGGGGCCACGTACTTTGACTAAGAGTCTTTCCTGGATTTTCGCGGCGGCCGTCTTTGCCGTGGCTCTGCCACTTGCCAATGGCGTAGTTCAGGGTGCTGTACTGAACACCATTCACGTCCCGCTGGAGCTGGTCCATGCCCAGGATGGGGGTGCCGCGCTTCGCTGAACCAGACATGGTAAGACTGTGCGAGTGGTCGGCAGTGACCACGATGAGCGTCTCCCTGGGATCGGTCAGGCGGAGGGCCATATCAATGGCCGCATCAAACTCGAGCATTTCGTCCAGGGCATACCCGACGCGCGTCTCATGGTGGCCGTGGTCGATGCGACCGCCCTCGATGAACACAAAATAGCCGTCGGCATGCTCCGATAGGCGCTCGATGGCCACGGCCGTCATCTCGCTGAGGCTCGGCTGCTCTTTGTGTGCGGCCAGGTGATAGGCCATGTTGCTGTCGCTGAACAGTCCCAGCATGCTACCATTGGAGCTGACGCAGTCGCGCAGCTCACTTAGCGAGCGGGCGAAGCAGCCTTCCGGATTGACCGACTGCCAATGCTGCACCAGATCCCGGCCATCGCGTCGCTCGAGACTGAACTTACCCAATCCGCCACCCAGGATCACCTTGAAGTGCCGGCCCGGCTGCTCATCCACCAGCTGGCGGGCGATCTCAAGCTCGTCGCTGCGTCTGGCCACGTGGGCAAATGCCGCCGCTGGACTGGCATCGGTCACACGCGTCGTCGTCACCAGCCCCGTGGCCTTGCCCGCGCGATGGGCCCACATGCTGAGGGACTCGACTATCTCGCCGTCGGCGCTCTGGCCAACGGTGCCGCTGCTGGTCTTAACACCGCCCAAGTAGGCAGTGGCCGTGCAGGCCGAGTCCGGGGACTGCTCGTTGGTGCAGTAGGTCTTGCACAGGCCGGAGTAGGGAAACTCCTCGACGGCCAGTTTACTCTCCTCGCCGCTGCGTCCTTGGCGCTGGCCCTTCAAGATGCGCGCAGCTGTCAGCGTGGTGATAGACAGGCCATCGCCCAGCATCATGATGATGTTCTTGGCCCTACGCCCATCCGTGACCGTGTCCTGGGTGCGATCCAGTCGAGCCGCCACCTGATCGCACGCCTGCCTCAGCCAATAGCTGGCTGTTAGCTCCTCCACGGCTGGTCCACCCCTTGTCGTTGGCTGCTCCCTCCCCTGATTCATGAGCCGTGGGTCATCGGCACAGAAGGCCAGTGGCAGCGACAGGAGAGCGAGCGGTAGCAGTATCTGGCCCAATTTTTTAGGTGGCATCTTCCAATAATTTTACTCGTGTACACTGGGAATTCTGTTTTGACTGCCTGCCAATCAGTCGTCAGAGATTCAGAGACACAGCCCCAAAACAAGCAAAGCCTCCTCCCTTCCAGCGGCGTCATTTGATACGACGTCCAATTAGCATTCACTCAATTTCCTCCACTTATCATCCACTCGATCATTAATTTTGTGCTTTCGTTTTCCAATAGGAATCAGCCCGGAACTGAACAAGTTTGTGCCTGGGAGCACGGACGATCTGCTCGACTGGTCGTTCATAGCACGCAGCCTTTACTCGGCCAGCTCGGCGAATCCCAAGCAGAAAATCGTCTCGTCGATGCGCGAGGGACTCGAGGATGTGATCACCGAAGTGATGGAGAACATCAATAACTATTCAAGGCAGCGTGGACGGGTGATTGAGTTCCGGGAGCTGTTGTATGGCTACCATCGACTGGATGCCCTTCATGGGCAGGACCTCATACTGGATTTGCTGCTCATCTACAAGAAGTATCGGGGCAAGAAGATGACTGTTCCCGTCCGCAGACACCTTTACGTGCAGCGTGCCTTCACGGGCATCTTTGTGAAGGAGTTCGATGAGGATTTCTACAATGTCACCCTGCAGCAGAGTGAGTTTCGTTCTGCAAATCCGCATCCGCCAAGCAAATTATTCTTAATTCTGAACACCTTTCAGGTCTGCTGGGCAGCATCCTACACAGTGGAATGGCGCGCCTTAGCAGCCACTTTACGATGGCCAGCGGCCTGCTGCCTCAAGCAGAGGACAAGATTGTGTTCGTGCTACCGATCTCCGGACGACTGGGTACTCTTGACCGTTTTCTGCGCACCTACGAGCGCATATGCATCAATGCGGAGCAGCACTGCGACCTCCTGGTGGTGATATTTGGAGCTCCAGAGGAGCTGGGCGAACACCTGCAGCTCTTGACCCATCTGCGGGGCCGTCACGTCCACCAGCAGGTGAACTGGATCCAGCGCAGTGGCCCCTTCTCCCGCGGTGTGGCCTTGGATGTGGCCGCTCGCTCCTCCTACATCCAGCCCGCGGATATCATCCTGTTCATCGATGTGGATATGATCTTCGAGGCAGCTACGCTGCAGCGGGTGCGGATGCACACGCAGCGCGGTCGGCAGGTCTATCTGCCCATCGTGTTCAGTCAGTACGATCCGCAGCGTCGCTCAGATGGCACGGGAGACTTGCCGCCGCCCATCGACGATGAAAACGGATACTTCAGGCAGTTCGGTTTCGGCATCTGCGCCATCTATAAGTCGGACATACTGGACGAGGACATCAATGGCTTCGACAAGGACATCACCGGCTGGGGTCTCGAGGATGTCAAGTTTCTCGAGAAGATTGTGCGCGTGGGCACACGCCAGCAAGGCTTCCTTTCAAACACCGCAGAGCTGCCACTGAACTATAACGAGGCCGCCGAGCAGTGGCGTCGCCTCAGCGTATTCCGTGCCCCGGACCCCACCCTCGTCCACGTCTACCACGACATCAGCTGCGACATACAACTGGAGGCCGCCCAGTACAACATGTGTCTGGGCACCAAGGCCAACTCTTTGGGCAACACCCGGCTGATGGAGCAGCTATTCTACAACAGCCGCGATGACTTCCGCTTCATCGCAGACTTCAACAGGCAGAAGCAGCAGCAGCAGGCCAGATGATTGACCCCTATCCATATACCCCCTGTTGGCATATATAGTATTATATAGTACTAGGGGGCAAGCCCCCTTTTATGAAAATCGGTCCAGCCATTTGGGAGGAGTTCAGCCACAAACACCGTGACACGAAATTTTTATATATATAGATTTTTGTCCTAGTGTGTCTGTGTGTGAGGGGCGCACATACTGCCAGTCCTTAATCTCCAATGCCAAGACTAAGCGAAAAGCAGCAGCTAGATTTGTAGATAGAAGAATAGTCCAGAGTGGCATTTGGAGTCCTAAAGTATGTCCTGCTCATGATTCCAGGCCGTTGATTTTAATTTAATTTTAGAAGCAACGAATATCGGATTAATACCGGCGATTTGCTCCAATGATAATAAAATATTTAAAATCTAGAACTATAAGAAAAATATTACGTAATTGAAGAACACACTAAAAATTATTTGAAAACGTATATCCCATAACAAAAGAGGAAGAATAGTTGTCAGTCTTATTCTTAAGTGATTGTTCAACAATAAACGCTAAAACAGAAACCGATGCCTCAACCACTGAAGAGTGGTAGGGGAGAAGTGCGGGTTTGAATGGGTGAGGGCTACAGCCAATAATAAATATCAGAACAAAACGGCAATATCAGAGGTTTTTTTGAATTAATTATCGTTTTACAATTGTTGGCTATTGTGCATGATCTATGTAGCTAAGCCAATGGCTAACCACCTGGGGTCACGTGCGGTGAACATGGTCCCGCATGAACGATAAAATGCACATTGCCATTTCGAATTTTGAGTTTTTCCACATTCTGGGGACCTCAAACAAGATCTGCGAGATCTGTCGCCGTGTTTTCCATAATTCCATTGGAGAGGATTTTTGTAATTAAATACAATTAACTCGTTTTGCTGATTGCAGACAATCGCATTTTTAATAAAAAAAAAAACCCTTAAGTTGGTTATCGTGAGTATACACTCACTTAGTTTCTGTTTAAATACGTCGCGGGGGAGACATACATATACATGAAATGTTCGATGCAATATACACTTATCGATGTAGACACTTATCGATATATCGCATTTGCCTCGAATAGCAGGTACATGGGCGCAAACTCCCATCGCTAAATCAGAAAAGAATCAACATTTTGTTTTTGTGTAAAATTGCATTTAGCAATTAATTGTTGCTATAATTAGCAAATGGCGAACAACCTGGAGTCACGTGTGGTGGATCTGGACGTGGCCTGCCTGATCTGCCTGAATGAGGAGTCCGGCCATATCTCCATTTACAGCCATGACTTGGAGCCGCCGCACACCCTGATTGCGGACATGATCCGCTGTTGCACCAGCCTGCAACTGGAGAGTTTGCAAATGCAGCGCTGGCCGGACAAGATCTGCGAGCAGTGCCACAGTGAACTAGCAGTCGCCTACCGCTTCTATGAGAAGTGCCTGCTGATCGAAAAGCTATTCCTCACTGCGACCAACAGCGCTCTTCTCGTCGACGTCGACGAATTGGCCAAGAACCAGCAGCTGAAACTGGATTTGGAACAGCATCACGTCAAGCTGCCATCCAGCTTAAAAATCAAACGCGTCGAAGTGGATGCAGACATTCCTCTTGCAAGTCGGACGGTGGTGTGTTCAGTGTCAGCAGCGCCCAGGGCAATCACAGTACAAACCACTGGGTCTGGCTCAATATTACCTACATCTGCAGCGACCACAACAGCAGCTCCGATTCTTCCCGTCACCAAATTTGAGTACTTTCAGGAGGACGGGGAGGACACAGACTCACTGGGCCTGTTGCCAGATACCGCCGATTCACTGGTCATGTCGCTGGACACCCTCATAGAGACGGTGCCCATTAAGGAGCAGCCAGAAGACGAAATGTCGTCGGATGAGGAGGATAAAAAGAGGACCGTCCCACAAACCTGGGACGAGAATCCCCCGAGCCCAGAGCATGCCTATGAAATCGAAACGATACTAACTAAGAAAACTCAGGGGGGGCCACAGACTGAGCTGCCCCAACCGCCGCGGACTTCATCACGGGCCCTCAACACGATTCAACGATGCAATATAAGCAAACGCACTTACAAACGCGTCACACCGATCTTTAAGAGGGAGGTTGACGACGGCTACGTGCTGTTCGATAGCCAACAGATAGGCATTCCTGAGACACGTCGCCACGCGGAGCGTGCGCGCAAAATTTGTCATGTGTGCGGGAACACCTACAAGTATCAGCATGCCCTCAACGCACACATGCGGCGGCATAACAACGATCGTCCCTATCCGTGTGAAGTCTGCCAGAAGGCCTTCATATCGAACGTGGAGCTGCGCCGGCATATGCGTGTCCACACCGGGCAGAAGCCCTATGGGTGTCGCTATTGTGACCGCCGCTTCTCGGACTTTGGCAGCAGCAAAAAGCATGAACGCATCCACACCGGTGAGCGTCCGTATGTGTGCGAGGTGTGCCACAAGGGCTTTGCCTACGCCCACGTGCTGACCGTGCACCGGCGTACACACACCGGAAAGAAGCAGTTCCAGTGCACGCAGTGCGACAAGGGATTCACCAAGAAGAACTACTTGGCCGCCCACCTGGATCAGCACAACGGCGTCACTACGTCCGCGCCAGCGGCCAAGCGTCCGGCCGCACGCAAGCTCCAAAAGAGGCATGTCCCGGAGGCACTGTTCATCGGTCAGTTAATGCTTGGTACCGAGCCGCCCAAGGTGCTGGAGGAATGCATTGTCACCCACGATTTCATGTTCAACGAAGAGGACGAGGCCGATGCCGACGATCATGATCTGGAGGCGGCCGGGGAGAAACGGGAAATGGAGCTGGACGATCCAGAGCCGGAGCACGATGACTTCGACGATGTTGATGTCTATCACCACAGTGTGCGCTCCGTCAAGGATGACCCTTATGCGCTTGTCGGGGATCTGCTGGACTCCGAGGAGTTCGCAGACGATTCCAAATATCTGATTGACTAGTATTAGTATACGGCCTCGATCCCGCCCCGCCCACTCTCACCCTAGTCGTTTTGTGGAAGTGAATGCGAATTCGAATTATGGAGATTGCTCTATAGCAGCTGTATAAACACTTGACCTGACTATGTGCTACAAGAAGAAATACATGTGCCACGGCATCCAATTTTGGGGGCCGCGTCAGCATCGAAGAAGAACAACTGTGCAAACCTAGAAGAGTGCCGTTGGCACCCCATTAAGATTGTGCGGTGGTAACTATTGTAGTTTTATTACATTCTCACATTCACATTGTAACATTCAGCGTAGATTTTCTATAACTATAAGAGAAGAGAACCTGTACGGAGTACGGGCACGGGCCTCCGTGCCTGAGATGGGTTAATTGTTCTAGCATAGTAGTATAGTTGCTGTTCTCATCGCAACCGCTCTCCACTGTAGTACCGCGCTGAGATGGCACAAAACTGATCTTTTCGGCCACGTTCTTGAACCGGTTTCTATGTCTGTGGTGTGTTTGTGTTTTATGCTGCGGCTCTTTTGTGTCGCCTGTAACGGCGGGGTCAACGCCACAATTTATGGAACGATACATTAAATTATTTGTTAGGCTAATGCAAAATCTAATTTTTTCTCGCCCTAGACATTGAAAATGTTCGTACAAAATATATACATATATGTATATGCATATGCATGTATATAAAAACGAGTGTTTGCGGGGAGGGGGGAAAGTCTAAGGGAGTCGGTTGGATTACTGATGGAACAATAAAACTTGAACATCGGTGTGTGTGGGGAGCTAAGGGCTGGGCTCTAGCTAATCCTCGAAGGTGATGCGTCCGGGGCCATGGTTCTTCATGTAGCGCCTGTAGGCCTTGTAGCGTGGATTCTCCGCCAGCTTCTTCTTCATCTCCTCGTCCTGTTCGGCCTTCCACGCCTCGAAATTGTCGCGCTTCCACAGCTCCAGATGCAGATACTCCTCGATCTGTTTTTCGGGCTGCGCATTGAACTGATGATGGCCCATCTTAAGGTATCGCCGCACCAGATACAGTTTCTGGTCGCGGCCGTACGGCTGCTTGAGGAACGTATAGCGCCAGAACCACTGGCCATGCCACACGATGAACGTAAGCAGCGTGTAGGGGCAAATGAGCAGCTGCACCCAGAGCACGTCCCACAGTGTGGGCTTCGCATAGCCGCCCTGCACGTCCATCTTCTCCTCGATGACCTTGCGTATTATGCGCTCCAGCTCTTCCTTCTGGTCGGTCTTGGCCATGCGGTTCTTACCCTTCTTCTGGATGCGCTCCTGTATCTCTTCGCGCGCTATGTCTAGCGCCTGGTTGCGGTACTTGGGCACCGTGGCAAAGTACTTGATGGCCGAGTCGTAGCGCTGCCAGCCGGAGTAGTACTGTATTACCGATATAATCGTCAGCACTACCACGATCACAATGCGCACATCCACCTTGGGTGCCACGCGGCGGCGGTAGTAGCGATAGTAATGGGCATAGTACGCATCCGGGTTGTCCAGCATGTAGTCGTAATCATTGCGCGACTCCTCGTCGCGAAGGATCTCGTAGGCAGTGGCCAGAAGCTTGAACTGCTCTTCCGCTAGGGCCTTGGCCTCGGCGCCGCGATGCAGATCCGGATGGTACTTGCGCGCCAGCGAGCGGTAGGCCTTGCCAATCTCCGACTTGGACGACTCACGTGTCACGCCGAGCACATCGTAGCAGTCTTCCTTGCCGCAGTACAGGCCATCGAGAAGGCCCAGACACAGCGTTGGCAGAGCCACCAGGGCCAGCAGACAGGTAGCTTGAAGACGCATCTTGGTAGGTTATGGCGGTGCTGTGGGGTAGGTGTGGGTTGCAGCGGTGGCAGGAAATGCTCGGCAACAGCTGTTTGCGGCTGCAGAAAGCGGAGCGGCAACGTCTCGTCACCGACTGGGGAGCAACTGGTGAGTGAGCCCGCTCGTTTTGGGGGGCACGTTGGCGCTGGCCTTTGGTCTGCTTCCGATTGACCCGCTTGCAGGTTAGAACTTTCCCTCCTACGGCCTTTAAGCCCGCTCAAGTTGAGGCCAAAACGAAAACGTATATTTAACTAGGGATGGGTTTCGATAGAATGTGATATATAAGTTCAAAACGATATGATAATTTAAAATTCGGCTAGAGACTTCATGCTTAACCAGCTGCGGTCACACTGCCATCAAGAGTCAAATATACATACTTATATGGCGCAACAAATGCAAAGCCACACAAGGGCCGCCCAACCACTTTTCCCTAAAGCCTAGTACAAGCTCAGATCCAAAAACTGTTTGCTAGCAAACAAATGTCATATATTCTGCTAGCTGCCAGTGGTGTGACCAGAGGTGTGTACTGCATTCCGTACGGTTACACTGCTCAGACAGCTGGTTTTGTTTAAAGTTAATAAAATGCACTTCTTCGCCTGGGGTCGCTCTTATTCAGGCATATCCTGGGCTCCCCAATATTTTATTGACAAGGTAATGTGTTTGACTATCTGCAGCAGCAGATGGCGACTCTATTTGTCTTCATTATTTAAACATTTTATTTGGTTTTTTGTTCTCATATTGCATATGTTTGCTGGCAAAATATATCAAATTAATACAGTTTTCGAGGCTGGTATAAACATACCAGCAATACCAGCAAATACCTTCGGATGCTTTTCTAGTATATACCGACCATTTTTTTTGTTGATCTGAGTATTGCAAAAATACCAGCGAACGGCACCACTGGGCGAAGTATATCGCTCTCATCTCTATTTAAAATTACGAAAATGAAATTGCGTGCATTCTAAATGGTAAAAGTAGTTTCTATTAAAAAAGAGTTCCACAAACCTCAATTCAAGCCCAAAACGAAACCACAAACCTTTGGGGTAACTTATTTTAATACTGGAGCAGCAAAAAAAAACAATCAAAATAAGGCATGCACAATACAAACACACACGCAAAGCGACACCCACACCTCATGAGCAAAGCAAGTTTTTTGTGAATTTTAAAATCAAATGCAGAAAAACCAACTACTGCAGGCGGTATCTAAAAAAAATAAATAATTAACTTATTGATCACAAAATGGTTAATAAAAGTTAGTGTTTTATGTATTTGCGCTCGTGTGTGTGTGTGTGCGTTTCGTTGTGTTGCAAAACAAAAGCACCCAAACCTCCAGCACCACCACCACAGCTGCAGAAGCAGGTTAGCCCAAAAAAATATCCGCATCAGCGTAACCCCTTGAAAACTTCAAATATTAAGCTCAGCGATATGTCGGTAAAATATCCAATATAATTATCTAGTTTACATACATATGTATGTGCATACATTGTATATTTTATCTTTTTGCATATGCACTGCGGTACTTCTCTACAGTCGTGCCGCCGTCGTGCCGCCGTGGGTGCCGCGCCTGGCTGTGCGTGAGTAAGTGAGATGGACAAGTCACTTAACGGCAACGCAAAATAAACAGCAACTCCGTGAGAAGGATAGAGAGAGAACTATAGGCCATATGTCGACTATGTGATAGGGGATACCCGCTTCTCGGATGTATTTTTTACCCAATGTCGTTGCAATATTTATCCGAAAGAAACAATTTTTGGTATACCGGCAGATAATACGTGTGTATCAATACTTTGAAAACTTTTGTGGTTTGTACCGGTTAGCCAGGGCCAGGTTACTTGACCAACAGTTTGTTAAATTGAATTACATGTTATTTTGCAACCCAGAAGATGGGGGGAGGAATCATTTCCGGACCAATTAGGTGTATTTTATATATAAATTGTACCAGAATCCATCGGGGCTGGCTAGTGTTTTTCAACGTTTAGTCTCTGTCACTGGTTTCTGTTTCAGCCACATGGGAACCATGACAAAAGACTACGACTACCTTTTAAAAGTTCTTCTGGTGGGCGACAGCGATGTGGGGAAGCACGAGATACTTTCGAACCTGGAGGATCCTTTCCCCGAAAGTCCTTTCTGCAGCGGAAATGGTGAGTGGGCCAGAGACTTAAACCGGACATTTCATCAACATATCCTATTTTCTAATCAAATAGATTGCACCTCTCACATCCTCCAAACGGTAGCGTACAAAACAACCACAATACTATTGGAGGGTAAACGGGTGAAGCTCCAGCTGTGGGACACTTCCGGACAGGGACGATTCTGTACAATTATTCGCTCGTATTCGCGCGGTGCTCAAGGTATTATACTAGTATACGATATAACGAACAAATGGAGCTTCGATGGCATCGATCGATGGCTTAAAGAGGTCGACGAGGTGAGTATTCATTATATCACATTTCACAATACACGGAACTATGTATATTCCTTCTCTTCCGAACCTCCAGCACGCTCCGGGCATACCCAAGGTGTTGGTGGGAAATCGCCTGCATCTGGCTTTCAAGCGGCAGGTGGCCGCCAAACAGGCCGAGACCTATGCCAGCCGCAACAACATGTCCTGCTTCGAGATATCGCCGCTTTGCGACTTCAACATACGTGAATCCTTCTGCGAGCTGGCCCGCATGGCGCTCCATCGCAACGGCATGGAGCACATTTGGCGCAGCAATAAGGGTAAAATTGAATCTCATACATTCTTCTGCTCGCTGTGCGTCTTTTAAACTAAAAATAAAGTCAGGCCAGCATCGTAGCTACTTTAGAACGTGCAAAACTAGAATAGAATCATTTGAGAAAATGTAATCGTATCCATAATTTGTTTTTTTGGCAGCGAGTCATAAATGGTGCCATATGTAATTCAAATATCCAAAAAGTCGCTGCGAGCAAATTAGGTAATACGATCAGCTATCCTTTAATGTTAAAGAATAATTCTCTGAAACCGCCTTAATTATCAATTTTGAAAGTGCTACAAGAGTCCAGTGTCAATCGAGTTATAATTCTCTGAAATTAATTGTTAATACACGGAGACTATAGTTACCTTTCTGAGAGTTGAGGCTCTGATCCAAAGCAGAGTGCAGTGTCAATTGGGTTAATTCTAGCACGGGTCTAGATATCGATTCATTTTAGTTGTTCAGAAACATTGGATATAATGGAATCATTGCATCTTCCGAAATACTCTATCGATATAAATAAGCTATGCAAAGATAATAAAATGTATGCATTTGATAGCGCACAAACACCAGCGCTCACATTCTCTTTGTTACATTCAGTCGCCTTCTCACTAGATGCGGCATCTATGGGTTACAAAATCCTTGATTTGTCCCCAAACAAAGGCAGGCTTTTAAATTATTGTTGCAATATAGAACGTGGAACTTTTGGAGAAGTTTTCTTTCTATTGAAATTATGAGATATGCAGATTTGATCTAATGAGGCATAGTGGCATATTAAGTATCCGAAAAGTGACTGGTTCTGAATGATGACAGCGCATGCTAATGGATTACTTATCCCTCGAATTTGCAAGCTAGTATAAGATTCAAGATGTGTAGGAATTGTAGGGGAGGTAGATAATATGGTTAATGTTCGACATACGGGTCGAATACGGGTTTCACGCTTTTCACCGATAAATTCACCCTTAAGGCAAAAAATATAACATGTTTTCACAAATGAGGCGATTTTTACAACACGTGCAACTTTCCATTATTAAAAAATAAACATCTTTCGATGAAACTTTAATGTCAAAACTCATAAAAAAGTGTAAAAATGTTGGCATTTTATTTTAAAGGTCAGCTGGTTATGTTTACATTTTTTATGGCAAGGATGAAACTTTGAAAGAATTTTTGCACGTAAATTCTTGATAAATCTTTGTCCATCGAGGCTATTATTATTTTTTTTTTTTTTTTTTGCTATTTTAGGAGAATAGGAAAGGTATTGAACATTTACCGTGGTCATAATTATTTATGTTTGCAACTGTCTGATGTATGAAAAACGCACTGACGCCCAGTTCATCCACATGATATCACATATATATATAATGAACTTCCTTTACTTCCTTCAGTTCTCTCGCTGCAGGAGCTGTGCTGCCGGACGATTGTGCGGAGGACGAGCGTATACGCGATCGATTCGCTGCCCCTGCCGCCCTCGGTGAAGTCCACGCTCAAGTCATATGCTTTGACCACATCGCAGTGCTACAATTCGCTGAACCAGAGCTCGAAGAGCAAGAACCGCTGCAAGACGCCAACGAGCAGCAGTCGGAACAGCTGTGCGATCGCGTGATCGCTGCCTTGTAGGTCGCTGCTGCAGCCCCACGGCCCACGCGAGCTGCCTACAACATCTGCCTACAACGTTACCCCTTCCCCATCCGACATTAACTATAATTCAACTATAATTATGTACTTTAGGCTAACACACACCCCACATATTACCCTACGTACATGGAATCCTCTCCGTAACTCGACTTACATTACTATTATTATTATTATTATTTTGTTTGTTTCCATCGAGATTGATATGCTATATATTTATTGTCACCATAAAACAAGGTTTAATTTTTACACAGTAAAATTTAAATTTTAGTTAATTATAATGCTCCATCTTACATCTCAGAACCCATATTCCCTGTATCTTTCGATCCCTTGCATTATTCTAATGTTGTTAATATTATTATGTTTGTATAATTCTTATATGTAAAATGCGGACAACTCGAACAACACTACAGCCACCACAACACCCACATTGTCCACAAACACTAACCGAACCGAAATGAAAGTGAAAGATCAGAAACATGAGACCATCGGGGCAACTATTATTGAATCATACTACATTTTTTTTGCATATTTTTTTTGTTCGGTTACTATTGATTTAAACATATTCTTAGAGATAAATGTATTCGGGAGCGAATCCCGCGGGAGAACACACGCTCACACAATGGGCGAATTGATAAAGATAATTTAGAATGAACCAAGAAACAAACACTTTTTCTCTGTCTCTTTTTTGGCTTCTTTCTCCCATGCCCGTATTGAACGCTCTGCTCTTTGTCTCCTTCTAGTTCCTGTCTGCCATCTCTTTCGTTTTGGACCTGGGGATCGGGAGCGAACAAGTGAAAGTTGAGTGCATATTTAAAAAAAACGTTTCAGATTAGAAAGTTTTCAGCCATATATTCTGGCATAATTCCAATAAAATTGTTTGGCATTTCTACATTTGTTCAAGCACTTAGTGGGGAACGAAGAGATGGTATTTTATATGTAAAATCAATCCGTTTTTAGTTGAAATCCTTTTAATTATTCAAGAATTACAAATCGAATTAAATTCGATTGAGGTCTATGCTGATAGATTTTACATATTGTACATTTATCATTAAATTTTTGTTTAAGTTTCAGAAATATATTGCAAAATGAACTTTAATTCCAATTACGAGTATGTAAATTATTCAATTCCACTAAAATTATATGAAATCCGAGAAAGAAATGAATTATATAAATACAAATTGTAAAAGACTGAGTAAAGGGAATAAAAATATTGTATTTTTGATTATTTTTAGTTTGGTAATCAAATTAGCCAAACATTTTTCAAACCTCAAGGTGAGGAAAGCTCTTAAGAAAACTGTAATTAAAATTGGCTAACAATATCAATGGACCCCCCGTCCTCTCCCTCCACTGACCAAAGCAGATAGGAAAAATAGGGAATTATACTCTGTAATTGAGGAAAATCGCTAAAGATATCTCGCAAGTAAGAACATCTTTTCAGTCTAAAGATAATCCCATGAAACTTTCAAAATTGATTTTGCCATATAAACCATCTGAAAATTTATCCGAAAATCTGATAATATTTAGCTACTCTATGATTTATTTGAGGTATTTAAAGTTTCGACCTACTCTTCTCCGATTTGATTCGTTTTCAACATCTGTTTGGTTGTTGGTTGTACCTGTGAGTATGATTAACAGCCCGAATGCAGAGTCAATTTGGTATTGTAATATTATTTAAATGATTTAATTTGGCTTTTGCTTCGGTCTGATTGGGATCGATTGAGATTTGGGTTTGGGCTCGGCCTTTCGCCCGAACCTTCATCTCAACCTTCTACACCATCTTTCTTTTCTGTTTCTTTGTCTGGCGTTGTATGCAATGCGCACCATCAAGTGGCCCATGCGACCCAAGCCGAAGCCTGTTACGCGCGGAACCCGGCAGAACCACCCCCCCCGCCCAACCGACCGGGGGCGCTGCCGCATGACGCGCGACCGTGTACGAACCGATCGCGAGCTGCAGGAAAGATAGGTGTAGACTAAAATTCGAGGAAAATTAGAGCTAAACACAACTCAAAGAGCTAAGCATGCAAAATAGCTAAAAAATATAACTAATTAGGGAAGGTATGTTAGTATAGTGATTTAAGAAGAGGAAGGGAATTAGAGTTGATATTATGTGGTAAAGGGAATTGAAGTCCGAGCAAAGTACCCTAAATGGTTCGTGCAAGGAATAATTCGATCTACAAAGCGGAAGGAAAAGAGGAATGAAGTTCTAGTGACTATAGGAATCGTAAAGTTTATGCGGTCAACAAGTCAGGGCATCTACATCACCTGATCAGGTTGTGCATAAAAATCACACCAAGCTTTCTACGACTAACTAAGGTTGGAAGGTTTATTAAGACGTAAGATGGCAGTCTCACACCTGCATCCCAGTTAAGGCCACGCAGAGCAAAAAGTAAAAAGTTTTCTGGACTGATCTATACGGTCCTGGTGTACTTTGTACTGGGGGCCACACAAGAGCCATCTAAAATCGGACGAACAGCAGATATAGAGAGTTTGTATATAGGGGTCGTCAAATTCCTTTGACCACCTCATAAACCCAAGCACACCCATGGCCTATTACCATGGTAGAAATGTGTCAGAAACTTCAACTTGGGTTAATAACCCAAGTCAAACCAAGGTAATCCTCAAGAGAACCACCCAGAGGCTATAAGGAGCCAATAGGGGGCTGGAGCGATGAAATGCATTACGCATTCGAGGCATTTAGGTGTAACAATACACCATGACTGAAAGTTATTGAGATCGGATTGCAAGCGAGAGTGAAATGAAATGTCCATACTGGACACAAAGTTTAACATCATCCGCATACATGAGTACGAGAGTTGTTATCTGAAGGCAGTCATTAATAAAGAGTGTGAATAGTGGGGGCCTAGTGGCTCCGTGGTAAGAAGTAACAACAGGTGAAGAGAAGGAGTTTTGAAGAGGACTCTGAGCCTAGAACAAAGTAGTAGAAATCCATCTAAGAGTTAGGGGAAACCCTAAAAGTCAAGTTTTGTGAAAGGGAATGGTTTACAGAATCAAATGCTTACTAAATCAGTGTAAATGCTCGTCTCAAGTTACCTTGAAAGCCTAATGATAAAAGAGGTTTCGATTGCTATTAATTTTTGTTTTGCGCTTTGTTTTACACAACTCCCCTAGTTGGCCAATAAAATTGGGAGCCGGTGCACCATTTAGGAGGCAAAGCGATCCAAAAAACTTGAATGCAAATGTAAAGCAAAATTATTGAAAAAATTTTTTCTTTTTGACCGTTTGCTTTGAGAATTTCAACTCGAGTATGAGGGGGGTTATTTGTTTTAAAATAAAATTTTTTTTGTACAATGTCATCGGTAGATTCCCTATAAAGAGATTAAATAACCAAAATTGAGTTGTTTAGTCCTAGTATGTAGTATTACTCTTAATGAGCTTCAGGTCAAGTTGCCATTCAGATGGGACTACTTTTGTGGTTTCTTTTTCTAATCATGACCGTTTGGTAAGAAATCGAAATCGCTTCTACAAATCTTAAACTACAAGAGACGCCCTCGTCGTCAATTCAGTATTGAGAAACTCTTGGCTGGGGCCAAACCTCACCTGACCCGCACTGACCTTTCCTACTCTCTGCGGTCCGAAACTGCAATACCTGGCAGGGGCCGAGCCCAGGGCCAGGGGCTGGAGTGATGCTAATACCATCATTAGGTCGTTCCGACCCCCGATTGCCGATTCGTTCATGCCTGACGGATCAATATATTTGTTGGTTTTGGCCTAATTATGGAAATGCGCTTGGCTTTTGGATTGAACTCATTTGCATTTCCCACTGGTTTCTGGTTTGCTGTCGAAACTTCTTCTAATCCGTATGGTCCATATGCTCCAGAGGAGCTCGAAGTGAGCGAGGCATGTGTGGGGGATGCCCATGAAGTTGACGAAAGCAAGACGATCCACCAAAATCTTCAAGCGAAAACCGGAGACGAAGATGGAGATGGAGCATCATCGGGTGATTGTCTCGTAACAGTTTGCTCTGCCAGCTCTTCGATCTCTGCGGTCACCGAGCGATCGACCGATTGAGCTGATATCTGTATAAAAGCCATCGACTGCTGGGAGTTGGTTATCAGTTTACTCAACGCTTTCGTCGGCTTTGTGAAGTTCCAGAGTTTTCGTCCCTCAAGTAAGAAACTTCCAGCAATGAAGGTAAGTCCCCCAGTCCTCACCAACCAAGGAGCGCTTTCAACATGTTCCTCCCCTTCTCCTCGCAGATATTCGTGTGTCTCTTGGCTGCTTTGGTCGCCACCAGTTCGGCTGGCATCATCGGAGGCGGCGGTGGAGGCTACAGTTATGGCGTTGGCGGAGGTGGTGGCCATCAGGAGGTGAAGACCATCAAGGTCATTCACCAGGAGGGCGGTGGCTACTCAGGCGGCGGACTTGGTGGCGGCTACTCCGGTAGTCATCAGGAGGTGAAGACCATCAAGGTTATCCACCAGGACAGCAGCGGACATGGCGGCGGTTACTCCGGCGGACATGGCGGTGGCTATTCCGGCGGACACGGTGGCGGCTACTCAGGCGGACACCAGGAGATCAAGACTGTAAAGGTCATCCATGAAGAGGGTCATGCTCTGGGCGGCGGTGGTGGCTATTCCGGCGGACACGACCACGGATATGGCGCACAAGGACACGGACACGAGGAGGTGAAGACCATCAAGGTTATCCACCAGGAGGGTGGTGCACAGGGACACGGCGGTGGGTACTACGGCGGACACCAGGAGGTGAAGACTGTTAAGGTCATCCACCAGGAGGCTGGTGGTCACGGCGGCTTCTCCGGCGGACATGGCGGTGGCTTCTCCGGCGGACATGGCGGTGGCTTCTCTGGCGGACACCAGGAGATCAAGACTGTAAAGGTTATCCATGAAGAGGGTCATGCTCTGGGCGGCGGCGGTGGCTATTCTGGCGGACACGACCACGGATATGGCGCACATGGACACGGAAACGAGGAGGTGAAGACCATTAAGGTTATCCACGAAGAGGGCGGTCATAGCCACGACCACGGCCACTCCCACGGAGGTTTCGCTGGCGGTCACGAGGAGATCAAGACCATCCAGGTGATCCACGAAGAGGGACACTCGCACGGACACGGTGTGGCTTCTGTGAGCAACGAGTATCTGCCACCTGTGGTGTCGGCTTCCCAACCCGGCTACCTGCCCCCATCCGGTGGCTGGAAGTAAATCTCTCCTACCGGCCACCCGTTCTGTGTTTCGGTCCGTGTCATAGTTCCCGAAATGATTCCGAACTAATCCCGAAATCCCCCATCCGCCTCCACCACCTTTGTTAAGTAGTTTTAGACATTTTTTTCTTCCCATTTGTTATTTTTTTACTGTTCTACGAATATCCATTGTACCATCACTTTAGTTGTAAATCGTTTCTCCAATGAGGAGAAAATAAACCATCTGTAAATTATAATGCTTCTGATTTCTGGCTTCAATTCGGGTGGGAAATTACTAATCATTAAAATTATCCAAAGAATGCCAAAGGTATTAAATCAACCGGCCACTTTAGTGGAACTGTAGCAGAGCGATATCTTTACTTAAGGAAAACGATTTATGCATGTACATACGAGTATGTATCTTATCCATTTGGCATCAGGCCAACAAGTGGATCCCAATCAGAAATTAATGTTAATGTTCTTCATTCACAGTTTAATTACATAGATTCACCTTTCATTCGATTTCCTTCATACGATTGGCCGTTTCGATTCGTTTCGGTTTCACTTTTAACTTTATGAATCGACCAAAATTACCATAAACAAAGCCAAATTAGCGGTAGCTCAACCGACCCGTTCATGGATTGGGTTATCGCTGTGAGACTATGTTGTATACTTTGAATCGTAAAGTTTATTGTTGTTTGGTATGTATTGTATTTGTGTGCATACTCGTAAGAGTTTGTGTGTTGTGATTCAGTGCGCTATATCTATAAACGGAATAAATTAATTTTGGTGCGCACACGGCTTGCTTCAGCTGGAGCTCGATCTCGATCCGAACCTCACTTGTGGTGCCAATCGTAACGTCGTCGCTTGGCCGTGTCCTGCTCCAGGCGATTCCCGCTGCTGGCGCTGCCTCGCAGATACTGGTGCAGAGGCAGTGGCCGTGGCGAGGATGAGGTGACCCCAAGCTGCAGGCTACTGGATGTTGTTGGCCGCCAATTGGATGGCAGCCAGGGCGTGTCAAAGGGAGATGAATCCTCCAGCGGGAAGTTGCCCGGAATGATTGATTGATGACTCCCAGGGAGGTTGCTCTGGGCGCTGACCTGCTGCTGGTAATTGTGGACTCTCATATTGAGCAGCAGCTCGCCATCGTCGTCGATTAGATTGTATATCTGGGTGCCGGGATGCTGGTTCTTGCCACCCCTAGGGTGGGCCAGTTCCAGGCGCACCTGCTGCGGCTTCTTGGGCTTGGGTTGCGGTTTGCTTTTGGGATGGTGGCCGATGAAGCGCGAGGCGCGATCTGTGGCCTGTAGCTGCCGAAGAATACCCAGCGGCAGCAGTAAATCCGATTCGAAGGGCATGAAGCCGCTGGCCCTCACCTTAATGATGTTCCTCATCAGCGGCTGCTGCGGCAGGTTGTAGCTGTAGCCCCTTACTAGACCCAAAAGGCTAAAAAGGCTCAATGCGCTGACACTTAACATTTTTGATTTGAGCAAGTTGCGAGTATCTTCCTTGTCTGTATATTATGGATAATGTTTTGCAATCCCTGAACTGGTGTTCACTCCCAAAAGTAATAGCACAACAAAAAAGAAAAATAAACACTGATATTTTATCGGGGATTGGGATTGGGCAGGGATCGTAGAGAGCCAGTGGAGCTCGTTCTAGGCCCGTGTTGTACCAACTGACCAGCGACACGCTGACTGACGGGGCAAGCAGGCCGAGCTGAGTTGGATTGAGGGAAGCACTGTGCACTGCGCTCATAAAAACGAATTAATTAGAGAAAATACCGTTTTCCACAGCCGCACTGTGGGCCAAAAAGGTGAACAGAATTATAACGTGTTTCATTTCAAATTTTGAACAAGAAAACCATTTAAATAAATTAGATTTAAATCAAATTCGGTTTAAATTGTAACATTTAAATTAGCCAAATTCTCAGGATACGAGTATATGTACTCGTATGTACATACATAAGTCGCTTCTAACCAACGGAAGTCACTGGATTTTTTATGTAGGGGATTTCCTGTCCCATACTATTGAACTTTCATTCTCTCGTGTTAAGTTATAGATGGGATCCAGCGATTAATCACTTTCGACCCACTGTACATTAACATGGCCAACACTTTGAATTTAAAATAAAAACATAACTGGCCGCGAGCCATGGCGTTTATTGTTTGGGGCTTGTTGTTTGACGGCCAGCAGCTGAAAGAGCAGAGCAGAACAGAGCAGATCTTTCCTCTCTTTTTTCCCTCTAGTATTACACGTATTTCTACGTATGAGCAAAACATAACATGGACAGAATTATTAATATGTCGTACTCGTATGTATGTACATATGTGTTGGCTTATAACTGATTTATGCCAGAGTTAACAAGAATAATTCTTTGAATGGCTGCTGCTGCTTCTGCCTTCTGGTTGCCATCAAACTGGTTCACAAGCCATTAGAGTGGCTATTAAAAGCCGACCCATCCACTCTCACTGCGACCTGGAATAGTGGGCCTAAACAAAGCCCAAACACACACAAACATTTCTGTGGCTCATTAGCATTGAAACAAAGACCGATGTCCGCCCCAACGTACATACAATATATATATGCCCGGTAAAAAGTAAAATCGCTATGAAAATTAGCGCTTGTGGATAAGCGGGAGGCGGTTAAATTTTTATTGACACCATGTTCTGCCAGTCGAAAATTTATTCCATGGTTCACTGGGGCTTTTCACTCTCACTGCTTCGCATCTGCAGTATTGGGGGATAAATGCAAACGGTAATGGGCTGTACGGTGGCAGTGAAGGCTTTTGACACTACGATACTTCTTAAAAAATACTTTGCTCCTATATATTCTCAAAACAATCGATAGTCGATAATCTATGGATACAAAACGAAGTGTACCGAAGCGCTTAGCATACGGTAGCCCTCAAATCACAATCCCATATGACTGAGTTATTGTTCGTTCAGAAACAAATTTCGTTATTTGTGGACGAGTGTAACGCGAAGAAGGAAACGCTGTTTGTCCGTCCCGATGAGCGCCTAGATCTCAGAGACTATAAGAGATAGAGCAACAAAATTTTGCTTCCAAAGTCATGTGATATCACACTGAAGTGTATTTCAAAAGTTTGCCTCGCCCCTTACCGCAACCACAAAGGACAAAAATCTATGGCATCCAAAATTTTGAAGATACGGGAAGAAATTCATTTGCAGTGGCTACCCCACCCCTTTCCAGAGCTGCAGCCATTACTTATTCTTTTTCTCGCTAATACACACTCTGTACACACTGTACATTTAGATAACAGTAACTTACATATATACTGACTGAGTGTGGGTTTAAAAGTAGAATCGCGGCCAACGAAGCGACTCAGAACGTTCCCTTTCGTGGATTTTGTTTTTTATTTGATTTTTATTTCTCATAGACGTATAGATGTATGGTGTATCACTAAAATTAGGAACAAAAGAATGTAAAAAAAAAAAATGTCCATATGTATATGGATGTATATAGTATGCGTGTATGTGTGAACGTGTATGTGTTGTATGTATGTATATGTTAGAGAGAGGGATATCTGTACAATTAGAGTAGAGTTTATAGACTTAGACATAGGTGTATGGCTAATTGACTAGAAATATACTCGAGAGAGCTATGGCGCATCGACACCGCGTATGAACTCTCGTATTCGGACTAACCTAACAATTAGACCCTTTTCAAAACTATCCTCGATCGGCGAGTTGCTTTCATCCTCGTTGGTTCTCCTCCCCATCGTTATGGATGGTTTCAATATGGTTTCATAATAAATATTTACATATACAAATACTGTTGCTCTAAAGAATTAGTTAAGATATTGACTTAGCTTTAGATTTAGGTGTAGGTGTAGTTTGTTTTAGGGTGGGCATAGATCTAGTCCAATGTGATGTGGGGATTCGTGTAGGTGAAGCCATGGAACTGCTTCTGGTCCATGGAGGCCAGTATCTCCTTGTCGATGGGTGTGAGCCGAACACGTTCTCTTGTAAACACCCGATCGAAGTATTGCGTATCCAGGGGATGTTTCTGTGGGAGCCAAGATATTACCAAAAATTATGAGTGCATTCTATGGATCTATAGTATATAGTTGCAGATCACTTACCACTTGGGGCTTGAATGGAGGCTCGATTTGCCGCTTCTCCAGCAGATTCCAGTCGATGGGCCTAAAGAATATGTGATCGGCTATATCACCAGCAGGACTGTACTGTGAGCCAAGCCTTTTCGCATAATCTTTTTCCAGCAACTGCAAAAATAAAAAACCAACGAAACTAGATTGAATATATCCTAGAAGAAGATTTATAACTTACCCCCTTGAGTATGCCCGTGGCCTCGGCGGATATGTAGACGGGAAACCATGGAATTTCGTTGCATATGGACCAGAAGAGCTCATCCTCGTCACAGCCACTGAACGGCGATTGACCGATCAGCATTTCATAGAGCAGCACACCAAATGACCACCAATCTACATTCTGATTGTACTTTTCACCCTGCACGCAAAACAACCACCAATTAAATTTTACGAAATATATGAAATATCTGTCAAATATAAGGGATGGGTGATTTTTAACCTTAATGATTTCGGGCGCCATATAATCGGGTGTACCGCAAAAACTGTCGGCCGTCTTGTCCAAGTAGATCTGCAATTTACACATGCCGAAATCGGCAATGCGCACATGCCCTTCGTAGTCCAGCAGAACATTATCCAATTTGAGATCCCTGTATTAGAAATAATAGGAATAGAAAGAATATTAAACCATATACGATACAATACGATATGTGATGCTTACCTGTAGATAATGCCTTTTTTGTGTAAAAATTTGAGGCCAGAGATTATTTCAGCGCCATAGAAGCGGGATCGCTCCTCGGAGAAGCGTCCACTCTCCTGTATGTGGAACATGAGATCACCGCCATTCAAATACTCCATTACAAAGAACAAATGGCTCTGAAAAGCATGGGATTAGATGAGAGATAAAGAAATAACAGATAAAGAGCAATAGTGCGCACTGGCCCTCAATAGAATGTATCTTCAAAGTCATAAATAATTAAAATACCTTCTAATCGGTGTCAATGCAAGAGACGCCGATGCAAGATGCAGAATCAAATGCAAATGCAGAACAGAAACAGAAACTTATTGAACGCGCAGCTGGGACGGACAGGCACCCTGATCTACATGGTGAGCTGACTGATTCTGTCATGTCCGACCGACGTCGTGTTCCCCAATCGATGGTCACACACAGAGGCAGTAATTTATAGAACATTTTACCTTTTCTCTGGCTAATTATAGACGGCTAAACTAATCGATCAATTGGTAGGTATATCTATTAATCGGTTATGTGTTTACCTATGAGCAAACTGGGCGATGATGACCTCGCCGGGGGCGTATCTCCGATATCTCCGGTATCTCTGCAAAGCAGACGAAAGCGATTATCGGAATCCATGCCCCCATCGAATCTTTTCAGATAGCTTTCTTTCTATATTTTAATTTATTTATTAGTCTACTATATATATATCTATAAATAGATAGATAGCTTTTAATATCGATAATGTGTCCCTAACTGTAACAAATATTTATGGCAAAAAAAAACTTTGTTTTCGGAACTCTCAAATATGGATTCGAGCCAGAAGCGGATGACCCCGATCAAGGACAACTTACCTCCGTTTGAAATGTGCAAAACAGATGGCACAGATACGGATGCTTGGTGCCCAGGGCCAAGACTTTGCGTTCGATCAGCGTCGAGTCCACATCGTCATCCTCCAGAACGACATCCTTTTTCAGACACTTGATGGCATAGTAGTATGTGGTATCACGCAGCTCAGCTAGTAGAACCTATCCCAATCAATGGGAAATAGATAAATGTCTAGAATAAAATACGTATATATAAATTTTGTAAAGTGTGTTGCTTACCTTGCCGAAACTTCCTTTACCGAGAACGGCGAGAAAGTGAAAATCATCTACCGAATAATTCTTAAATCTAGGTATTACTGTTGCTGGCGCAGTGAAACGTCCGGATTTTTGGAATTGTGAATATGTATATGATGTTTCTGTGCGATAGTAGCAGACATTGCAAAAGGTAGAAAAGCATCGAATTAAAAGTAAAAGTTAGTTAAAATCATTTGAAGATACAAATTAGTACATTATTAGACATTATAGATTATGTAGTGCTTGGGGGCTTTCTCTGATGGTCACTTGAGTGGATCTTATCTATTCATCTATTGTACCGGTTGCATTTATTATATCTGTGAGGTAATTAAAATACTAAAAGGATCACCATACCATCGTGTTCATCACTGGCCTCGATCTTATAGGCTGGATTTAGGCTGGGCGGTGTGCTGGGCGAGTCACGGGCTTCACGGGCGCCTAATGTATCGAGAGTATAATTTAAACTTTTGGTCTCTCACCTTTTTCTTTTGATTGATTTTGCCCACCGATTCGGTGGGAACGTGGGAATCAATTGCAATTGCCGTCTATTCCTTAATTAACGCATTTTTAGTTTTGTTTTGGTATCATAAACGTATTCCAAAACGATGGCATGGCTAATAGATTCGTTTCTTTCTGCATACTTAATTCACTTTTGTCTTTTATCTTATGGGCCTGTCTTCAGCACCGCAGAAAAAACCTGTCAGACATTTGCTAGTTTTTCCTGAAGTGAATGGTGGGAGATGGAGGCAAACACTGAGCGAAAAACCAAGAAGAATGACTAATATTGATCCTTTTGTTTTTCAACAATATATGCCACCATCAACACAATTACTTCATCGTCAGTTAATTTTTTCCCTTTTTAATGTTATTTGAATTTTCACAATTGGCACTGTTAACCAAACACAGCCGATTTCTCAGCATATTTTATTTATGTTCCCCACACTCACGGAATAACTGGCAAATTCCTGGCAGGAACACATTCACACATTCCCACAGGTTTACTCTGTTCGGGCAAAATCAATGTGAGAAAAAGGTTAACAACTAATTTTTGAATATTATTTTTTGGTTATTCGATGTCCTTCAGGTTTCTTTGGTTTGCTGAGGCGAGTTTACCGTTGTTTACCTCGCTTCACGTAGGTAAGCGCCTCGACGATGAGTTTCTGATTGACGCCGCATAAATTGGCCGTGAGCCGCTCGCATTTCTTGTGGCAATTCACGTCACATTCTGGTTCGCGTCCGTTTCGGATTCGCATTCGGATTGGTTTGGATATAGTATGTGCCCACGCATCGCATCGGATAGTATTGGGTCCGAGGAGAGAGTGTTGGGAATTAATTGCATACAAATGGATATTAAATTCTTGTTTTTGGGGCAGGTAGAAAGGTTTACTCAATGCGATTTATTGGCTGCACGATTTTTTGTCTCGAGAAATATTTTTATGCGTATTGTTCTCCCGCATGGAGGAGAACGCATATCCGCCCATTCGTTATTGCTGGTGTTTAAGGTTTTGTGTGGAGTGTAAAATGGTGTTGGTTTTTTTCACACGAATTCAAAACATTCATTGTACTCTGCGTATTCGTGATATCTGTGGCGGCATCAAGCAAAAGCACGTATACCCGATGTTAAAACGGGATTAAATTCAAAGGAATTTTTTTATAAAATCTACAGCTAAATTGTCTATCTAGCTCATAACTGTACTATACCGATAGTAAAGATAGCAGATCGGAGAGATGTTTATACAATATACATAAGTACATCCACATATATGATTGTATATCGTTCTAGAAAGCAAAGGCAAATGCAGAGAAGACCCAGAGGCAGACAAGAGGCAAAGGCTGAGGCAGACAGAGACAGAGACAACGATGACCTAAACAATTTGTTTTCATTTGTTGTTTTTCGGCTAAAAGTAAAATGCCAACTTGTCGATTCTTTCTACCTCCCGTTCTCTGGGATCTATTGGCATCCGATCTCTGGCAAATTCTCGCACAAACATCAAGGAAACGAAGCAACGCAAGCACGGAACAGAACAGAACAGTAATCAAAGGCAAGGAATTTCTCTGCAAAAACTTACATAAAGCGAGATTCGAACAAAACATATAGGAAGTTAATTGGTTATATCCACTCGGAAAAGCACATACATCGTTGAATTGTAGAATTGCATCCGATGAACAAAATTTATGGCTAACTTGATAATTTTTTTTTTTTTTAGCGAGAAGTAACGTTATGAGTTGCTTCTTCGCGAAAGGTTGCGCACTGCACAGGGTAGAGTGTGTGCGAGCGAGAAAGAGAATAAGTAGCGTCTGTAGCGCAGAAAAGGGCGAGGTGAGCGACTGAAAATTAATTTCTTCATTCTGGCTATAATAATGATCCGATCTTAACCAGATTCGGAAATCTGATAGATAGGGACATTCTCCACGATACTGCGTTTTTCGTTTTGTCGTATATTGTGGATGCCACAGATTTTCGTCCTTTTTGGTGGCGTAAGGGGGGCTGGGCCCCCTATTAAAAAATAGAACAAAAAACATAACATTTTTAGTTTAGCTTCTTGGGCTCTCCCACAGCCATTCTGAACGTTTTTCATTGTGGCCATCTCCATCACCTTAAAACCCAGAGATGTGACATTTATTTTCTTGGAAGCTCCGCGATCTGCCATGAATACTATGTGCCACTATGTGCGAATATTCCGCCGATCAGTGCATTCCGAGAATTGTTTTTACAGATCGCATAATGCTGGAATGCCGCATTCAGATCCGTATACTTAACCCTATATATAATGGCTTGTTTATATGTTTTAGCTGTGTTTGTTCTTCTACAGCATGGTCCGCATGCCTGAGGTCTCTATCTACATACGAGTCTATATCGTTTGTCTATACTTCTTCCGATGTGTGAGTGAAAGTATTTTGGAAATGAAAGCAAATCTCTGACGACACGTGCCGCACTCAAGTGACCACCAGGGGCGGGAAAGAAGTCTGTGAGAAGTATTTTCCGACAGGGATCTTGTAGGATCGTTCAGGAAGCCCCCAAAGTGGGGCTGGGGTACCAAGGATCCTTACCTAGCATCTTTTTGGGACTGGAGGGTGCTGTGCCGCCCTCGAAGCCGGAATCATTGCTGCACGTGCTCATCCGTATGATCGAGGGCGAGCTGGACGTCGAAGTGGATGCACCCACGCTCAGAGTCGCCGCTGAGGTGACTGTACTACTGCTGCATTCAGCAGCAGCAACCGCCGTTCCTCCATCGGACTCATCCGTTCTCCTCTTGTTGGTGGCCGCTGCCTCTGACTCCTCGGAGCTGGCGCTGCTGCTGGAGGAGCTGCACTCCTCACTCTCATCATCACTGTCCTCGTCCAAGGAGCCAGCGGTGGCCTCGCTGCCCTCCTCGCTGCTCTCGTCGTCGGTGTTCTCATCAGAGTAGACGATCTTCTCGCGCTTCCACAGCGGCCGTGGCGTGGCCACAAGCGGATACCGGGGCGCCTCCTCCTTTACGTAGCACTTGTTGGTTGTATCGATTCTGACCTTCTTGTGGGGATCGAAACGGAGCGGCGCTGCAGCGGCCCCTTTCGCCTTCTGTTTCTTCTTCTCCTTGCGCTGCTTCTTTTTCATGCTGGCGCTGAGATTCGCACAACCGTCCGCGCTGGAGTAATCGTCCGAACTGTCGTCGTTGCTGTTCTCCGCTGACGATGGTATATAGTCCTCGAGCTCGGCATCAACGTCTCGCAGACACTGTGCCAAATTCGATACTGTTGCAAACTTTGATAAAATATTGCCGACGCCTTCGCCGCAGCTGTTGTCGTTGCCGTCGCCGCTTCGGTCATCGCCGATGTCGATGCCGATGCCGATCCCGATCCCAGCGACTGCGACTACAACATCAACACTGGCAACCGATCTCTCTATTGTTATCGCTGTAGCAGTTGTTGTAGGCGTTGGCGTTTTCCTTGTTGTTGCAGCGACTGCTGCCGGCGATGACGCATTTGTGGCCACGAATTTCGCCTGTGGTTGCTGCTGCTGTTGGTGTTGCTGCTTCCCTGGCGATGTTTTGGCCGCCTTTGTGGGGGCCAGCGTTATAAATTGATCGGCATTGATTGGGGTCACATTGCTCTCAGCTGTTGCTGCTGGTGTTGATGCTGCTGCTACTGCTACTGCGGCTGTTGCTGCTGCTGCTGCAGTGCCTGTTGGAGCGGCAGTGGCTGACTTCTTTTTCAATGCATTGTTTGTTTTACCGCCACTTTTTGACTTTGTCGTTTTCGGTGATGGAACCTTTGAACTGTCCGTTGGCTCAACGATTTCCGTACATTTTGGTTTGATTTCCGTTTGCTGCCTCAATGTAGTTGGTGCGGTAGCTCCTTCTGCTGGTTGTTGCAGCTGCTGCTGGTGCTGTTCCTTATGTGTTGTTTTATTTAATTTCGTGGCTGGCACTGGCACTGCGACGACGGCGGCGACTGTTGTTGCCTGTTGTTGTTCAGGTGACTTGGCCGATTGCCCGCTATTTATTTTTGGCCCTCCCGTTGCTTTTGCTGCTATTATTGCTGTTGCAGATTTTGCCCCAGCATTTGTCGTTGTCATGACAACTGGGATGCCCGTATGTGCAGCGTTGCCAGATGCCAGCACCTTTGCTTTTGGCGATGTATGTTTTCCTGTTGCTTTCTTTGTTGTTGTTGCTGCTGGTGTTGGTGGTGGCGATTCTGGTGTTGTTGGCGTCTTGGTTGTTGCCACAGCTGTTGATGGTGTCTTGTCTGTTGCACTTATTGACGATTTCACCTTTGGTGTTGTCGTTGGTGTTGAGTTCTTGGGTGAAATTTTTGGTGAAACCTTCGTGGTTTTCGGTGTTGATATTTTGTCTTCCGTAGCTGTTGTTGATATTTCTGTTGAAGCTATGGATTGTGTTGATTTGTGCAATGGTGAATCTGTTCTTTGTGCATTTTTTAGTTTTGCTTTGTTTGAATCAATAATTGTTATAGCATTTGCAGATTTTTTCGGGGGTAATTCTTTTGTTGGTGTAGCTGTTGGTGAAGCCACTGGTGAATCTTTCGCTTTAGCGACTACTGTGAATTTTGGTATAACTGTTGTTGGCGAATCTTTTGTAAATGTTGGCGTTAATTGGATTGGATCTTTGGTTGTAGTAGTTATTGTTGATGTTGGTGTTGTCCTTGGTGAAGTCTTTTTAGTTTCTCTAATTGATGGCGGGCTTTTTGTTTTTGGCTGGATGGTTTTAGTTGGGGCTATTTGTGGTTTTCTTGTTGTAATCTTTGGTGATGTCGTTGTAGTCGTGTAAGCACATGTTGTTGTTATCTCTCCTGTTGTATTGAGCTCAATTAGAAGCTCTGACTTGAGCTGTGGTGTCGTTGGTATAATCTTTGACTGACGTTGCATTTCCGATTCAATACTCTCTTCCTGGACCTTCTCCTGTCGCTCTGTAATCGCTTTCTTGCGATTAGTCATGTAGAGCGTCTCCCGGGATCCGATCTGCGACCAGAAGTCATCACCACTTTCCGACTTCTGGATGACCTTCCGAATGGGTTTGGGCGTGGCCACACCTTCTACCTTGGTCTCCGGCGGCTGTGTTTTCTGAATTGCCGCCTCATCGAAGGTGAATATCTGAGCCACACTCACGTGTGGCTGCGGATTCTGTTGCTGTAGCGCTGCTTTCGGCTTCTTTAGTGGCGATATTTTGGCCGGCTTTGGGGCGGCTTTCATGAAGCCCTCGGGCAGGGCCATCTCCATCTGCGCCTCCGGCTGGATCTCTGCTGGCTTTGGGACTGTCTTTTTCTTGGGCAACTTGAATATCTTGTGTATCTGGTTATGCTCCTCTACCTCCACGTTGACCGTGAACATCGGCTTGGGACTGGTACTGGGGGTGGAGCTGGATGTGGATTCAGTGGCGGAGGACGAGCTGCCTTGCTGCAGGGGCATCGTCGTGCCACTGTCCTCGTTCAGCTCCAGGAGACTGGGCATGTGCTCCAGCTGGGCCGTGCTCGGTGAACTCTGCACCTCAACAATGGCCGTGATCTTGTCGCGCAGCTTCTTGCTCTTCTTGCGCTGCTTGGAGCTGTGACGATGTCCGCTGGAGGACTCGTCAGCCGTGGTACTGTCGTGGCTGGATCGCCGTTCCAGGTGAATCAGCTGAAAGCTGCCCGAGCTGGACTTCTGCAGCTTGTTAAGTATTTCCTGCTCCTGCTCCTGGATGATGGAGGCGCGGCGTCGCAGTTCTCCGGCATTCAGATCGTCGTCAATCTTGTCCGAGGAGATATCCTCGCAGATATCGTGGAAAGTCGGGCACTGGACAAGGCTAAGCCGACGGATTGTCTCCTGCATACCCTCCTGTTCGCTCTCCTCCTTTTCCTGGTCACTTTCCTCTGTCAACTGTGTGTTTACCTTCTCCTCCATGGCCAGGCTCTCCCGGTCACTCTGTAGCTGTGGCTGGGCCACCTGCTGGACCCGTAGCTGGCTGGCCCTAAACTGTGGCTGCTGCTCCGCCAGCTCCTTGTCTTCGTGTATGAAGAAACGCTCCCTCAGAAGCTCACCGGGAGACTTCTTGTTGATGACGGTGGGAAAGGAGGCCAGCTCCTCGGCTAGCTTCTGGCGCCAGCTAAGACTTGGTTCGGTGGCAGGCGGTAAATCTCGGAACTGGTGCTCCGGGGCCGAACTCTGTTCCTCCTTGGCCACGAGACTCTTTTCGGTTGAGGTTTCTGTGCGCTCCTTGCTCTTTCTTCGGATGGTGGAGAGACGTACCACGGCCCGATTGCGTCTGATGGTGGAACGACGGGGCTGTCGATTGTCTGGAACGGGCTCCTGGGCTACCACAGCAGCTGGATAAGTTGTCTGCTTTTGTGCCAGATCCACTTGCACCTTGACATTCTCTTCCCTCTCCTTTTCCTTTTCCTTATTCTTCCCCGCATCAATTTCTTCCTTATCATTGCTGCGGATCGAGGCCACAGGCCTCCGATACCGCGCCGAACTCACATCGATGTCCGCCGTGTTGATGGCGATTGGTCGTGGCGGTATATAGCGACTGCTGCTGCTGTGGGCGGAGCTGTGGCTATAGCTGTGTGTGGGGCTCGACACATACTTGGGCGACTGTATCCTGGTGAGGGGCATTAGGCTACTGTGGCCGGCATGCCGTCCCACCAGTCCCGAGCTCTCTGTGATAGTCGTCAGCTTCGGCTGGTAACGCGATCCCAGGCTGTGTATGGAGATGGAGTTGCTGCTGCCGCTCGTATAGCTGCTAGGGGATCGTGGCGAAGACGGTGACAGGGGCACCATATAGCTGACCGGATACGAGCGATTGTAGTTGGACGTGTAGCTGGATCCTGTTCCCGATCCAACGCCGCTCAGCCCCAGTCCGGAGCTAGAGCTGTAGTATGGGGAGTACAGCTGGCTGCTTCCGCCGCTGTAGTAGTAGTTGGTGGAGTCCGAGTACAGGGGCATTTTGCTGGGCACTCGACGCGGCACACAACGAAAAAAAAAATTCCAAAAGAGCACTTTAACACACAGGTTAACTTTAACAATTATTTGCGATTTCTTCTGTTGTTGTTTTATTATTTTTTTAGTTTATTTTCGTAGCTTTTCAGTTGTTTTTCTGCACTTTGAATATATTGTTTTTATCGGGTGCGAGTAGTTCTATCGATTTTCAATTCCACGTAATTACACACTGAAGATTTCAATTCCTAAAGGGCAAATTGCGATTCAGAACTCTAGGAGTCTGGGGCTTTTCACTTCTATGTCTGCCACAGATAGCCACAGAACACAAGCTGAGAATCTCACTGTATGGTTAATGGTTGCCTATTTCTATCTACCCAAATGAACGGATTCGATTGCCGATTGATCTTGTATATTCCTGATTCAGCCAAAACGAACTCAATTTGTTTTGGGGCTATGTCAATACATAATTAAATTTGATTGCTATTTTGGCCACAATTTCGAAAAATTTTACACCGCTTGGGCAATATCTTGAAATAGAACGATTCGCCCATAAATTCGAGGGCACTTCAGTTGGTTCTTTCACAGGTTAACGCTTACTTAAATTATACTTTATGTATAAACTATTGTATTTCTGTCTCTCGGCTCTCCCTGGTGCTGGTGCTTGTGGTGATGTTGCTGCTGTCCGTCTATCTGTTTGTCTTGACGTTTAATTATACAAATTTTAGAAATTTCAAAACTGCTGTCATAATGTGCCAGCATTTGGCAATACCAAGCACCATCACTGGCGCGGGGCAGCACGTTAGTTATAGCGTAATTGGCCCAAAGATTTAATTCCAAGTTATTAAGCAGCCAGTCCAATTCAATCTGAAACGATATGGTCAAATGATTCTAGAAACAAAGACCATATCAATCATTTTATTGAAATTGTAAATGGTAATTGTTCAGCAAGTGACCATTGATTGAATGGATTGTTTGAGTGAAGTGCTTGAAGTGCTATAAGCACAAAAGACACACGGTAAGTGAGGTGCATCAATATACGAAATAGTGGCTTGAAGTTGATTTGATTCAAAACTTATACATATATTTGAATTATATGAAAGCTGTATATAATCAGCCATACTCGTACATATGTACATATGTAGCTCGCACGGAAATTTCAAAATGTGTATATTAAAATAATGTATCCATTAAATAGAATTGTCAATAGCTGAAGGTCAAGAGAAATTGAGCCCGCAATCGAATTCGCATTAGCATCGATAGATTATCCAATAATCAACGCATTTGAATGGCGATTTCCATATCTGTTCGTTTTCTTCCTGATCTTATATACATACATATGTATATGTATTGTTGGCTTTGCCCCGCATGTGCTATATAGAAATAGATAAATGAGTGTGTATATTCCGATGTAGTAGATAAATTTCTTGGCATGACGTAAGAGCTCACGAGTCGTATGCCTGCGATTTTTCTACGATTTTGGTACACGCATACATTTATTTCAATTTAGTTCCGTTCTAATCTTTTTATTTTATTTTTTATTGTAAATCTTCGCGGCGGACACGTTGTTTCACAGCATTTCTTTCGATTTTTGGTTTTTGGATGGAAGACGTACCGCAACGTAGCGCACCGTACCGCTTACAGTCCCCTTTATTGAACCGCACCGCACCGCACTGCACTCATACCACACTGATCGTATGAGATCGTATTGGCGGAGGGGGGGAGGGTGGATATCCACAGAGGGTATCCATCCCCGCAGAACCAACCAGAAAAAAAAAGATGACCACCTGACCACCACCTCGACGAGCCGAACGCATTAACGGAAACTACTGAAATGTGAAGAGCATCGCAAAATATCTTAAAGCGCCTCGCCGGAGTCGATTCCTGATCTTGCACACACACACTACACACGCAAGTAGAGAAACGGTCACACTCGAAAACAACACACAACAGCACAGCCCAAACATGCACATTCACACCCCAGTCCCATTTCGAAGTCCATGTCTCTGCGAGTATGTGTGTGAGAGAGACTCTGTCGGAGGCTAACTTCGCCGATGATGACAGACAAAGGCAGCATCAGAAGCAGAATCATCTGAGGTGTGTGGTGTGTCTATATCGGTGTTCAGGCATAGGCAGAGGCACAGGCCCAGATCATCGTCTTCTTCACTAGCTGCTCTGCTGCTCTCCCCACAGACACACACCATACACCACCACCGACCGTGTGCCTGCCAATTTCGAAATATGCCCCTCACCGGCACAAACACACAGCCATAAATTATACACGAAGACGAGCATTTTCGAATTTCGAAAAACATCAAAATTATTTCTGAGTTTTGTTTTGATAGAAATTGTTTTTCCCAGTTTTTGCACAGCGAAAGTAAAAGCGAAAGAGCACAGAACCTCCTAGAAGAGAGAGGGAGAGAATGGGAGAGAGAGAGCCACCGAGAGCTCAACGTAGTATGCGCCAAAGAGATCTTAATGTGGGTGAGCAGAAGAGTTCACCCCAAAGGGGGAGAGGCTGTCTGAAAGCGTGTGAATAATTATCTAAAAAATGTGTGTATTCATCGTGACGTATTCATCTGATCCCCCACTAAAACTGACTGATGATTGCCGGAACAATTGGAAATAGGAAAGCCCACCAAAATCCACCATTGATCTATGTCCAGCTACATTGACGGTCAGCAAGAATTTACCCCCTCCGTGTGAGAGTAGTACCTACTAACTTTTGTTTGTACAATCTCTAACCGATCATCGATATACTTGTTTTTTGCACCTGCTATGAAGATGTTTTGCCACAATGTTTTGTCCATCACCCAACAAGAGAAAAATAAACTGAAACGGAAAAAAACTAAGAACGAATAATGACTATGATTACCTGCATCTGCTGTACATAAAACTTTTATGCTGAAATCAGCATTTAGCAATAATTTACAAAATCAATTGTTTTTTGAAATAAGCAAATTAAATTTCTTGGAATTTCGTGGTGTATCTATGCACCGATACACCTACATATGTATGTATATGCATGAAAAGAAAGCCCAATATCTTCCCAATTTTGGTCAGGATATCTGTACTTTGGGGAGTTGCATGTCGCATAGATGTTGCATCTACCTTACTTCAGACGATTAAAAAGTATGACAAATGCCAGACAAATGCCGTAAGTTGGATGGCGGCAATTTTCGACTGATGCTGATGCTAATGGTGACGCTTTTTGGTTCCGCAAAATACATACACAATCGTGGGGCGACGCGAGTGCCGCCATGAGTGGACGGGGCATCATGGGTGACAGTGGGAAAGCGCCAAACCACTAGAAATAGAACTGCTGCAACATGTACCGCAAGTATTTATTCTATTCTCTCTGTTTGTTGCTGTTTCTGTTGCTGTTGCCGTCCCAGCACTTAATCTTTGCGATTTATAGTCGCAAAAGTGAGAAGAGGGAGCGAGCTGGCTTCGGGATATTTTTATGGGGTATTTTTGCGCCTGCATTCCTGTCATGTCGGACGCTGCACTCGCCGTCCCCAGAGCTCTGAAGAACATTTGTTTGCATCGCTTGCCAGGGTATGTCACTGGGGTATGCACTATGTGTCATAACGTTTGTTGTAGAACCCTGGGACCAGTGTATTGTTGGACTGAATAAGATAACTCATAGCTCGGCTTTTATAGCCGTCGCTCAGCAGTAGATGGGATCCAAAATTCATTTGAGATCCAGTAGAACAGAGCAGAACCAGTCGAAATTCCATTCGGCAAGCATCCGCCCAAGCACTAACCATTATAGGACATCCAAGCTTTTGATCATTTCGTGTTAGTTTCTCGCATTCCTTCTGTCACTGTTATTTCTGTCTTGTTCGCTTCGCCATGTTTTTTTTGGGCTTCCTCTGGTTTGGCAAAGTCGCAATAAATTGATTTCTAATGTAGTCTGTCCGTTCATCTGCTATAAAAAGCCTTTTCAGATTAATTGGGTTTTGGGCATTACGATCATTTCCGCCTCGATCACGCACAGCAAGTGAAAGTCTCTACGAGTATTTCCTCATACAAAAAGCTGTGAAAATGTTGCAATTATCCATACATTGTGCGGATATTAATACACTGCGCTCATTTTGGTTGATTCTCGTATATCTACATATGTATGTACATGCATATGTTTTTATGTTCTTAAATGTGTACGCGTATTATATCTCGTCGTGCCACATACTAAAGTAATTGTTTTCATATGTATTTATATTTATTCTTTGCTCTTTCTCTTGTTTTCGTGCAAGTAGAGAAGAAGCGACTCCCAACGTTCCTTTTCGTTTGTTGTTGAACAATAAATTTCAAACAAAAATCTTTACTAAGTATTTTATTTTCATAGCCATATACTTGAAAAAACGATTTTTAAAATAACACGTGTGTAACGTTTTGTCGCTGGTAGTAAAATAGTTTTTTTTTTAACAATTTATTGTTGACCTCGCCCGGAGATATGGGGCATAGCGAGATATCTCCTGCCATACATTTTTCCGCAGGAGATATGTATGTCGCTAGGGCCTGCCAGGAGATATCTCGCCAGGAGATACATATGTCTCTATTCCTATGTATGTATGTATGTATGTATGTACATATGTAGATATGTATGTATGTATGTACATACATACATGTATACGAAGACAACCTTCATTTCTGATTTAATGATTTTTTAACAAGTAATTTTCAATGTGATAAGCTTATCCGCTTCAAATGACGTTACGGTAATTTCAAAATTTTTTGTTTGGGTTTTTACCATTATCGACCCAGAAAATCCCTGTACAAAGAGAACAAAACAAAGGAATTTCTCTCTTTTTTTTCTCTGTTAAAAGGTCGCTCTTTTTTTACTTTCTAATGACTCAATTAAGATTTTAGAAAGTAGTTTTGAGAGAAAAAAATAATATAAACAGAGAGAGAGAGAGAAATTGATTCAAGAGAAGAAACCAGGGCTGGAATATACAGCTCGGCAAACATACACTTCTGACACTAGAAGGTGCCAACCTGGGAAATGCTCGAGCAACCAATAAACCGCAAAAGCATTGAGTAAAATTTATTTATGTCAATAAATATTTTCGTCAATGAGAATCTAGAGGAGATTCTTTTCGGAATTGGATGGACTCACCCTCACACTTGAGACCCTGGATAAAGAAGCCGCCCATCAATGAACCGCAGTGGTCGCAAAATGTCGGCGACATGAATGTATGCGGCTTGAACCGATGCGGCATATCGATCTTGAAGCGTTCTCGTAGCAGCTAAATGGTGGAAAGTTGGACAAGGAGAAGCTCTGATTAGGCCTGTGGGAATGGGGGTTCTGTGGAATGGATAGACCTACAATAGTGCTGGCTGAGGTGAAGACGGAACCAGAGCACTTGCCCAACAGCTTCTCATGGCACTTCTTGTGGACGACCGTCTGGCAGACTGCGGATAAGAGAAAATTTACATCAGAGGTGCCAGGATAACACTGGAATGGCACTTACCGATGCACTGATATCCCTGCTTGCCGAATCCCCAAAGGAACAGATTGCAAAAAGCACAAAAGGTGGGCTGACGAAAGA